GCAGGCGCAGTCTCTCCACAAGTGTGCATTCGCAGAGACCACGAAGAAAAAAATGACTTTGTAGCAATCACAGGACACTTCCAGATAAATTTTTCAGTATGCAATTGTGCTACCACATTCACATAATTTTTCTGGAGGTCCAAACAAGGTTATCTTCTACCATTTGCATGTCTGTGTTTTCCCACTATTTTTTTAATTACCATAGAAAATCTGTTTAAGGAATGGGAAACAACCACCCAAACAGCTATGTAACATTTTTGGATTAGCAGTACTGGGAGCTGTTCCTTTGGAACCATCCCAATGCCTTCTGCAAGGAGCTAGATAGCTTTAAGCACCCCTGCAGAAAGTAGAAATTGCTAAGAATATATAACACCAGATAAAGAAAGCCTTCAAATGATAGTGTAGTGTAGTGTCGCTTGCCTCCAGCTGCTTTCCCTTTTGTGGGATAACACAGGGCATAATCAAATATATGTCTCTCTCAATTGAATTTGACAATTTTTGAAATTATCTCTCGGCACCTGTTGGTTTTCTTGGAGTTGCTCCATCAAATAAGCTGAACAGATGGAAACAGAGGAAAAGAGAGCTATAAATTGAACTTGAAGCAAAAATAATTTATATGCAGATGAATATTTAGTAGTATCCCACCCTCCATTCTTCCTACTGCTTACACCAGCAAGAGCAGGTTTTATGATATTTTATATATCCTACATTTTATTTAGTTTTATACTTACATATGAGTAATTTTAGAGTTATACACAACGTATCTATTGTTATTCTTCTTCTTATGTATTATGCTTTGTTTTTGCTTTGTTGATTTAATCCTGCCATATTATTTATGTGCCTACTTTTATTTATATTATGTTCCTGTTGTAAGTAACTACGAGACCCCTCGGGGGGGGGGGGGGGGGGGGGGAGAAGGCCGGGATATAAATAAAGCATTAGTAGTAGTAGTAGTAGTAGTAGTAGTAGTAGTAGTAGAGAAAGTCATTATATATTTTAGAGCAGATTTCCTTTAAACTCCTCCAGATATGCTGAATTGCAATTTCCATCACTCCCAGTAAGCTCAGCCAATTACTATGGTGGGAAGTAATAAAGATGTAGTCCCACCCATCTAGTAAACACCAATTTGGAGAAAGCTTCCTCACAGGCTAAGAAGAAGGAAATATCTTATACTTTCAGTAGACAAAACAAATCGGTCCAACACACATGTATACTAAAAATGCCTGGCCTTACATTTCTTAGAATGTGCAGTCATTTATAATACTCTCTTACCAGAATTTTGCAGAATAATGAAACTAAGGGGCCTTCCACACAGCCATATAACCTAGACAATCAAGGCAGATAATCCACAATATCTGCTTTGAACTGGATTATCTGAGTTCACACTGCTATATAAATTCAGTTCAATGTAGATTTTGTACATCTATTTGGAAGAAACCTAAGGCCCTATATCCCAGGATCTGATCCCAGATTATCTGCTTTAAACAGGATTATGTGAGTCCTCACTGCCAGATAACCTGGGATAAACAGGTAACCTGGGATAAGCAGGTAACCTGGCATCAGATCCTGGGACATAGGGGCAGTGTAGAAAGGCCCTTAGTGTGCCCTTTTACATTCTGACTGCTTCCGTGTTATCAGGCTGCTTAGTATAAAGTGTTTACTTCTTTATATGTCATCTTTACTCCAGTAAGTCAATATGGTGTATATTGTTCTTACCATCTATACCACATTATTTTCAAAACAATCCTGTGCATGCTTGAAAGCAGAAGGTGGGTTCAGGTGAGACTTATTTGAGAAAGTATTTCATAACTTTGGTGCCACAAACAAAAAAATTGGTGGTCTTGTCCTGGTCAGTCATGGGGGAATTACATTTGGCATCTTCTTTTGTTGCTTTCGCAGGTGCTGGCCTTGATGGAGTTGAAGAGATTAAACGGCATCCTTTTTTTTCTACCATAGATTGGAATGTAAGTAAAGTGTTGATACCTTGGGATTACAATTAAAATATAACACCACCACCCCCAAAAAATGACACAAGGGGCTAACCAACCCAGCATCACCAAAGGCTTTGCATTGAATGTCACCTTTGATGTTTGTAGGTGTTTGTCAATTGAAATTCAAAGCTTATCTGTATCATACCAAAACAATACAAAACAAAGAAGTCAATGCAATCATTCATGAAGAAGGTTTTGAGCTGATTTTCCTCATAGGAAATGAGAATGCATGTGTGTGTTCTTATATGTGTGTGTATAATTTTAATGAGAAGAAACAAACTTTCCAATTTTTCTGTCAGAAGGCAGAATGCTGTTGTTCCCAAGAATCAGATTTCATACGCCACATAAGATTTTTTACTTCCATATCATTCATTGTTCGGACAAGTTTCTTAGGTTGTTCCTCAATATGAGATGTTTTTTTTTTCCCAAACTATCATCTTTCTATTTTTTTCCATGTCATGAGTGACTTGAGAAACTGCAAGTTGCTTCTGGTGTGAGGGAATTAGCCATCTGCAAGGACGTTGCCCAGGAGATGCCTGGATGTTTGATGTTTTTATCATCCTTGTAGGAGGCTTCTCTCATGTCCCTGCATAGGGAGCTAAAGCTGACAAAGGGAGCTCAACCCACTCTCACCGGATTCAAACCACTGACCTGTTGGTCAGCAGTCCTGCCAGCACAAGGGTTTAACCCATTGCGCCACTGGGAGCTCGATCATCTTTCTATGAAAGCTGTTGATCATAGCAATCCAGGCAATGGCACTTTATGGGAGTCTTGAGTGCAATTGTAATAGTGTTTTGCGGGATAGGGTGAAAGCACATTCATAACAATAGGTTTTCTGTTGAACTTGTAGTTTTCCAAAGATAAACTGGGTGAATTTTGAACTGAAGTTGGTTCTTTGTGTTCTCTAATTACGCTTCTAGCTAAAAAGGCAGCTATCTCATACAGACAGGAAAAAGAATTGAGCTGGGATAATTTTTGTTCTATTCACAATTGTTGCAGAAAAGGTCAGATTAATTCTATGGCATCACAATGTGCTTCATGCGTGTTCTTTATAGCTCTTGCAGCATTCATTATGCATCAGTACCAAAGAACCTTGGTATGAATTCTCATAAAAAGAAAACCATCCTTTATTTAGCCACTGGAATTGCCTCAAAATATTCCAATTAGGGATGTAAAGCTTTGCTTATTTCTTTCTCACATACAAGGAAGTTGGAAAGTAGCATCCCACCTTATACTATGAGATTTTAGGACAGATCAAAACAGTTGATAATAATAATGCTAGCAGAAGACCTTCCCCATCCAAATGTCTTCCTAATAAGAGGGGCAGAATGTGTAGTCAGAAAAATACAATACAGGTTAATACCCCTTGTCAGAAATACTTTAGATTTTGGAATACCTATACTTGCATGTACATGTTACTTAAGATATATTGGTTATGTGATCCAAGTTTAAACATGAAAGCATAGGCTGAACGTGTATAATATTTTCATGGGTTTTTATGCGTAAAGCTGAAGTTATCATAAGCAAAGCTGTCACTTTCTCAGCCACCCATACAAACAGTTTCAGCTTTAAGAATATTTCCGTTTCAGACGAGTGATGCTCAACGTGTACAGTGTAAACATAGAAGGAATGCTTACAGGATTCCCAAAAATGTTTACCAGTGCCCAAGAATCAGGCCCTGTACCAGTAGCAACACCTAAACCTTGCATGGGCAATGCTCAGAATTGAACTCAACACATAAGAAGCACAGCAAGCAAGGCAGCTCTCCAGACGCACAGGTGTTAATTGCTATTTAAACCAGCAATGAATACATTTAGGAGATCCCTGGTTTGACTTGTCCTCCTACTTTAATTCCCTCCAACCACAACCCTGGAAGAAAAAGCTGCAACAATAAGCAAGGGAACTTAGTATTGTACTCTGTATGTGCTCATGTTCCATTTTAGATGGTGTGGGCAGCTGATATTTGCAGAATATGTCTTCCTCATTCCAAGGCACAGGCAGACCAGGTAATGTGAAGTGGCTGGAAATTAATGGGTTGAGATATAGAGAACTAAGTCCTTTGACCCTTGAAGAAAGGCAACTGCAGCTATCTTGAGCTCAAAAGCTACATAATTGAAAAGAGTTTTGCCCAGTCTTGCTGCCGAAGAAATGTATTCCGCAAAGACATCAACCTGAATTAAAAATAGATATGAGTTATATGTGCTTATTAACATAGAAATGGGAAAGTGATTCATTGATCTCAAGTTTCAGCTTTTTTGGGCTCCTGCTGACAGTATCACTTTGTCAGTGCAATAGTTTGGAGACAAGATTTTTAGATGGTAATTCATTTTTGTATCTATTTCTTGGACTGGATGTGCAGGGTAGCAAGTGTACAGTTCAAGGAAATCATCCCTCCATTGCTATGATCAGCAGCAGTTTCTATTTGCTGTGCATCACTCACTAGACATTTCTTTCTATTTCTGGGAGGTCTTCATTATCCTGTTCAGACATTTAAAAAGACCTATATGATATCTTGCCATCGCCTCCCCCCTTGTATACATTTGAATGTGTATATAAGTCAATGGTTCTGAATTCATGAGTGGTAATATTGTAGAAATTTATTTCACGTTCAATAATTTTATTTTCTTAGGGTCATGTGCATGTAGCTTCTTATGGATTCATTACAATCAATGTAAGGACTGTGTCACCTCCCTCCAGCCCCATACATTCATTTCTGCATTATCTGAGCATCTGCACAGGACAATTCAGTGTAGTACAGGAAGTGACTACATATTCCTAAATTCAATTATGGTACATTGGCTTCCTTGTTGGCAATGATTGCTGGATGCTTGCACAGAGTGTTTACATCTGTTTCTCTCATTGCTCTACCTATTTTAGAGATTCAATTTGTGTAGTCTTCAAGGTTTGGGAGCATCTAAATAAAATTGCCACTCAGCATGTGGCTCTTTGGAAATAAAGATTTTCTTCCATGACCAGCTATAGAGATCCTAGGGAAACAAAGGCCAGTAATCAATCCTGCCTACAGTGGATCCTGCTGCTAAGTGCAGAGATATTCACTGCACTCAACAGCAGGGAGGAAACCTTTATTCAAGGAAGCATTTAATAGAGAGAATGAGAAAGCAGAATTTCAAATGACGTCTGAATCTAATTGTCAGAAGAAACCAAAACCAAGGCAGGGCTTTTTATCTGGTGTACGAATATAGCATTATGAATTATCATTTGAAACAAAGATACATTTTAGACAAAACTTGGAAAAAAGTTCATTACTGTTTGTTTTTGTTACTATTTTATAGAAACTGTACAGGAAAGAAATCAAGCCCCCTTTTAAACCTGCAGTAGGACGTCCAGATGACACCTTTCATTTTGACCCAGAATTCACCTCCCGGACACCAACAGGTACCTACTAAAGAAAGATCTATAGTCTGAACATTATATTTTCATTCAATAGTTAATAGTCTTGTAGGAAGAAGGTTCTTCTGGGCCTTTCAACACTTTCGGTACCTTCAACCATGATATCCTTCTGAGTCGCCTTTCTGGGAAGGGACTTGGAGGTACTGTTCTTCAGTGGCTCTGTTCCTTCTTGGAGGATATTCTCAGAAGGTGGTGCTGGGGAACTCCTGTTCGACTCAAAGATGCTCCAGGGCAGCAAGTCCCACTGTTAAACATCTCTTACCATCAGGAAATTCTTCCTAATGTTTAGGTTACATCTCTTTTCCAGTAATGTGAATCCATTGCTCTGTGTCCTAGTCTCTAGAGCAGCAGAAAACAAGCTTACCCCCTCCTCAATGTTTATACAAATATTTATACATGGCTATCATTTCTCATCTCAGCATTTGTTTCTACATTTCTATGCACTTTATCCTTTGTATAGGAGTAAGCCCCAGTTGAACAGCATTCAAATTTCTTCCATGCAGCTATTCCAAAGCTGCAATACAGCTACTTTCCCAGGTGGAAATCAAACCTCAGTTACACACAACACCTTTCTCGGGCTACAAACAAGAGTTCAGTTCTAAGCAACACCTTTCTGGACTGAAAATCAAAACTTAATTTCAGACAGCATGATCTTATTGATCTCCACATTAAATGTGATTTTACACAGACAGTTTAATGCAGTTCAAAGCTGACTGAGGGATGGGGTGTTCACAAAAAACATGCCCCGATATGCGTTGCAGTACGCATCAAGCTAGAAACAGCTTATTTAAAAAAACTCATCAGAAAATCCAGAACAATCAAATAATGCACTGCAGCTGATCAGGGTATACCCCATGCAGGATTTGAAACAAGGGCCAGAAATCATGGCACGCTTGTCAGGACATGCCTAGTACCAAAAAAATTTCAAAATGCTGAAACAAAACTGGCCAGAAGGTAAACAATTACTTCCCCCAAGAGAGGAAAACACATAGGAACTCTTGATTTCTACCCCTTTGTTCTCACATTCTCATTCCTTGTGCCATGCCATGATCTAAACCTGCTGGACATGGATATGCATATCGGTGCATCTCAGCAGACTGGTTTGTGATTACTATCAGGTAGGGGATACTGCAGTTCCTGGGTTTTGTTCCAACCTGCAATCAGCAGATATTGTGGCCACTATCTCAGTCATGAACTTGTTCCTGGAATTGTGTGCCTGTTTCCTCTGGAGAAAGCCCAGTCCAATGGTTCCAGAGCTACAAGGCACAGCATATTTCTTGTCCTGTTCCTTAAGTCTTGTCTTGTCATCCCTGCAGATTCCCCTGGTGTCCCTCCCAGTGCCAATGCTCACAATCTCTTCAGAGGATTTAGCTTTGTTGCATCCACCTTGGTGCAGGAGCCTGCACAGCAAGAGCTGCACAAGGTGATAGTTCATCCAATTGTCCAGGTAAGGATGCAACTGGTAAACTTGACTAGATTGCTGCTGTGCTCAACCTGCTTCCCTCAGAATAAAACTATGCAACAAATCAACATTCATTCCAGTGTGTCTTCTGATTGATGATACTATAAGGCTTGTCTTCTTATTGCTATTGTTTTGTTTTCCTCTATAGCAGTTACATGGGAACAATATTCACTTTACAGATGGATACGAAATCAAAGAAGACATTGGCATTGGCTCATATTCTGTATGCAAGAGGTGTGTACATAAAGCTACAGAAACAGAGTTTGCAGTAAAGGTATGAAATCTCCATATCATATGATCTGCTGTCAACCAGCTAAGCTCATTTCTTGCTGGATTTTAGTGATTTGATGTAGTGATGATCAAGAAAATATCTGTAGTACAATAAAAACTAAGATGCTTATTTCAAACAACCAACTAAATGTATACAGGCAATCCCCAAGTTGCAAACCTCCATTTTTAAGAATGGAGGTGAGACAACACGAAGGAAAATTCGACTTACATATAAATTCAACTTAAAAACAAAACTACAGAATATTAATAGTATAATAATAAAATTTTATTGTTAACCTGCCCTCTCTCACTGAAGGGACTTAGGGTGGACAAAGGGACTCAGAACCTATCTTGTTTGTAATGTGGAGACTGCCTGTATACTGTAGATAGCCACAATTAATTGCTGTCAGGTTGCACACTGTTTTCCCTGCATAATACATTTGCCGCTAGTATTATTAACATATAAAATTTAAGTCTGCCAGTGAAGAATCTTCAAGCAAAACAACCAGGTTGCATTTCAAAGCAGTCATCCAGACAGCACACCCTTTTCTGTGTTTTGATATACACAGTTAGTCATTAATTCAGAGTTCAGAATAAGGTTGTAATTCTTCACTAGGAAGAAAGCAACTAGTAATTTTAGCAATTTTCTTTTTGTTGAGAGATCTTTAAAAGTCATGAGGTTTTCAATGACTATTCCCCACCAAATTTACATGTAATTGTGTGCATAAAAAGTAGAATTTTCTGCAGAAAGTGCTGTTTCCTATACATAAAATTTTGTTTTTAGGTAAAACAACCACCGATTAATTTGGCACAGAATACATCCATAATTACATTTTCTATAGAGGAAACAGCATTTTCTGGTGCAAGAAATAATATTTCTTCATAGAACTGTTATTTTCTATACAGAGAGTGCTATTTCATATGAAAGCTGACATGTCTGAATTTTTCACTGAATCATTCCCAATTGTGAAGATTCTTGTCATTGCAAGATTTTTTTTTCTCAAATGCTTGAATATGTGTTGTCAAAGGCTTTCATGGTCGGAATCACTGGGTTGTTGTAAGTTTTTCAGGCTATATGACCACAATCAGCAATCTCTAGTCCATCCCCATCCTTTAAACTGACAAAAATGACTACAAATGGAAACCAGAAGTAACTGCTACTCTTATTCTCAGCTGTTTATTGGTTGAATTTTGAAAGACACGGTGCTGCACACTGGAGATATGTGGGAGAACAAAATTGATGGTCTTGCTCTCTATAATTGCCAACTTCTGCTCTACTATTTATCTAGGAATCAGTTCCATCAAACTCAGCAGGACATATTTCTGAAGATCCACTCATGGGTTTGTTTGTTTTTTTGTTAGATGATGAGGAAATCTTGTAAGTTATCTAGTCCAGCCTTCCACTTAAAACAGAAAATCCAGAACAAAAAGATGAATATCTGCAATTGGTGGCTCTCCACTCTGTCTGCAAAGACCTCCGGCACAGGAGAACCCATCACATTTGTAGATAATTGGCCCCCACGAGGAACTGCTGTTTTATGTCAGCAAGTTTCTTTCAATGTGTATCTGGGTCAGGTTCTTGCAGCTTTTGCTTGTTAGATCTAGCTATATCTTCTGAGCAGAAGATAACAGTTTTTGCCCATCCTTTTGTGATAGCCCTTCTTGTACTTGAAGAGTACAATTATGTCCTCCCTCAGTCTTCTGTTCTCCGGTTATTTAATTGCTATAAAGGCTTTAAGATACGATAACTTAGCATAAAGAAAAATAAAGAGAAGTTTCCCCACTAGAAAACCCTTTCATCATTTCTTCTTCTTTATGATCATCACATCTTTCCTATAACACCACCTGAGTTTTATGATTCAGATAATGGATTAGACACTTGAATTCCACCCTCAGTCTGTGCAGATAGTACTATTCTGTACAGGCACTATACCATGGCATTTCTTTTTTGTAGGGGTGGGATTGCATAATCCTGTGAAGCAAGAGGCTGTGCTGACCATTGTCATGGAGATTGGGGTCACCAACTTCCAGCAGTCTCTCTTACCTAGCTCAGCTACTGCTGAAATTGAGCTTTCAGCAGTAACAATAATTCCCCAGCAGACTGAGGCCCCTTCCACACACCTGTATAAAATCCACATTGAACTGGGTTATATGGCAGTGTGAAAATCCAGTTCAAAGCAGATACTGTGGATTATGTGCCTTGATATTCTGGGTTATATGGCTGTGTGGAAGGGACTTAAGTAAGATGAGGCAATTACATTGGAATCAGTCAGTGAGAAGTTAAACATGTCTCCAGCTTTAGAATGCAGAAGGGAGAGTGCAGAGTTTTGCAGGTCTGCAAGATTAACAGAGAAATGACCACTAAACAAGCAACAGCTGAGATCTTATGATAAACAGGCCCAGTGTGAAGGCTTGTTGTGGCAGTTAATGTTGTTGCTTCTTGGCTGAACCTTGGACTTCACTACTCTTCAGACACTCAACATTTTGGACCTTGGATTGTGACCTTCGCTGTTGGTTGTTCTTGACCTGGCTCTGTAATTCTCTAGCTTGACTTCAGTAATTGAATTTTGCACTATGGTATTGGCTTACGCTTATTGGTTGTTGTTTAGACTTCGTGCTTTGATTCTGGACTATTGACTTTTGCTAGCTTACACATTTTTGCTATTTGTTTTGGGACTGCACTTCCAAAAAGCAGTGTATTTACAACGACAGTTGTAGTTCTACTGGTAGTATCTACCATGTCAGATAGGCTTTTACTGAGAAACCAGACTAAACATGACAAATACTTATTGGGCAACACCAGTATTGGCGAGTGACACTGGTGGACGATCTCTTGGTGACTATAGCTGTGGGACCATAGCTAACAGTTCTTAGTACTTCACAAAAGGAGGCAACAGTAAACCATTTTTACTTTGAAAAGTCTACTATGAGACAATCCAAAATGGAGCAAGAGATAATGTCAGAAAATTGGAAGGCTCTCACAAGCTACTAGGGAAGAGAAGAGAAAAAATACGAGTACTACTGTGGTTAAAGATGAAATTAGATACAAGCCAAAAAGATGTTCCACTGTTGACATGCTTAGAGAAAAGTCTGATGCTATGCAAGACATACTACAGGAACATGGGATGAGAAAAGTGTGAATCAGAGGAAGGTAGATATTATAAAACAAGAAAAGGGACTTATAAACATTTCAGGACTTGGAGTGAGCAAGCTGAAGGGAACAAGAATGGGACATTTTGAGCCTGATAATGACACAGTGTTTTAACCACAGGAAATTACAAGCAATCACTTCTTGATTACTTATTTTTTCCATACTTCTTCTGGACTTCAAATGGACCAAGAGGGCACAAATGTGGTGAAAATCCCCGCATTGTCACCCCAAGGACATTTTGGGGCCAAAACAAAAAAAAATCCCCGCACTTCATTCATTCCCCTATTATAACAAGCCAGCTCAAAATCCATCTCCCACTGATTAGTTGAGATAATTACATGTACTGAAGGAAGATGAAAGCTTCTTATTACAAGTTTTGAGAAGCAAAATGCCTCTGAAAAGGGAACTGTATTATCCAAAATAAACCAAGTCCAATGGAAGAGTCAAGTACTTTGGGAATAATTACATTTTTCAGATTCTCCAAATAAGTGGTCTGGGCTTCTGCAGCATAGCATGAATAATGAAGAAATGCAAAAGCAATGTTTGGAAGTCGCTACGTTAAGCATAAAGGGGCCTGAAAGAGAAGGGCAATCTTTCAAAGCAAAACCTTGATTCTATCTAATTTCAGAATATCACCAAACCGTTCTCACACATGGGAAAGTGTCTCAACACCCCCATCAAACTGTCAACTACCGTGAGAGTTTTTTGCTCCTGTGTAAGAGTGAAAAGGCCGTGCTTTTTTTGTCCATAGTTAGAATAGCAAAAGAGTAATTGCATTTTACATGAAAATTACCATTTTTGTGGAAATCACTTTGTACATTTTATGTTAAATGCCATGGCTTGCACAAAATATATTTTAATTGGATTTTTATAAATATAATTACAAAATAGGAAGATTGAGGGAGAGAGAATCCATAGATTAGGAGTATGGACTACTAATTTAAATGAATATAAAAATGATTATTTTTAGAATTTTATCTTGAAACCGATGTCTATAAAATACACATTTATGCATGACTAAAACGGTGAGAACATCCAAACATTTAATTATATACATGATGATTTTGCCATTTTAAATCTTGGAGTAATTTTTTTTCTAAAAAAAGAATGCTGCCTTCAAGCATACGGATCATTTCTATTTCACTTTGCAGGGACAGCAAAGTCGTCATGAATTTTTCACATTAAGTTCTAAAATGCAAAAATTAATTCAGAACATGCAAAAATTCTCATAATTTTTCCTAAAGGAGAGAATGAAATACAGTGAGCCTGTCATATCAACAGGGTTTTAGTTCTAGGATTCACTGCAGATAAGAAAAAATGGATGATCAACCCCATATTATTAATTGGAAGCTACATTCATACTTCAGTGTGACCATATTCACGTTACTGCCATTTACTAATATCATCTGTGGTTAAATTGAACTTCCTGAGCCCGTATAGTTGGAAACTATTGCATATTATTGGTTGATGTTGTGTGTTTGGTTTTGGTGGTCCCCCGATTTAGTGCATTGCTGCACAATGCTGTTACTCACAAATAGAAGGTCTGGGTTATATCCTCGGTACCATCTCCCACAGTTGTGGGATGGTGGTGACTGATAGTTGAAGGAGATCACATATCTGGATCCCACAGATGTGGGGGGCCCACAATAATAATAATAATAATAATAATAATAATAATAATAATAATAAGAAGAAGAAGAAGAAGAAGAAGAAGAAGAAGAAGAAGAAATAATTGTATTCCACCCTATCTTCTTGAAGAGACTCAGGGCGGTTTCCAGCACATAAGGCAAAACATTCAATTGGTAAGAAGAAAAACATACAAACAGATTAAAATAAAAGCATAATAAAACATAAAAATTCTACTAAAACACAACAATAAACATTTAAACCAATTGCAATTATAACTCCATCAGACAAGGTTCAATAATACCAGTGGCTAGGACTACAAAATGGGCATGGTCAACTATAAAAGGGCTGGGCAAGGGATAGTGCAAACAGTATATCATAGGGCCGGGGAAGTGGAGAAGGTGAAGAAGTGAATACTAACTGATGACCTAGGGACTGGGGACTAATCATTCTCGAAAACCTGCAGGAACATCCAGAGTCACTATAAGTGGCTTTGGGAGCCCATTTTGCTCTTTCATTGGTGAAAATATGCCAGTAAACGCAAAGATAGAAGTGCTAATGATAACAATAAGAGACACATTTAATAGTATTAAAATAAAGATAAACAAATTGGCATGTATGGCTACTGAGGATGCTAGCCCTTCTATTTTGCAAAGCTTGCTTCTGAGCACAGGAATTGAGTTCTTTGGAACTAAAGATACTTTGATAAAAGTTTATTAGACAATTGCCTGTGCCACTGTTGCCAATGTCACAATTGTCTATGCCACTTCGCCTATACTATTAATCTAACCAACTCTTTCTAGAGCACTTTGAGTCTGCCTCTTTAAGCCACCATTATTGCTGCCAGTTCTTGTTCTCCCTGTATGAACAGTCTGATTTCAGACAATAGAAATATTATTGATAGCAAACAGGTTAAGAGAAGAAGGTGCTAGTTCCAATTTCTTCCTTGTTACTTTTCAAAAGGAGAAAATGGACATGAGCAGAAGCAGGATTACTAATCTGGAGTTTCCAAGCATCCTTCCTCAAATGTTTATCATCTAGTAACATTTTAATGTCTGAAGGGGTTTCTTTAGTTTCTTTAACCCAACTTTTTGAACTTCATATTTCATTCCAACTTTAGCATGCATTTGGGGAGAGAGGGAGATCCATAAGAAAAGTCATACCCTCTTTATATGCATAACTTCTTCTTTCTTTTTTCTTTTTTTGTCGTGTCAGGAGTGACTTGAGAAACTGCAAGTCGCTTCTGGTGTGAGAGAATTGGCCGTCTGCAAGGACGTTGCCCAGGGGACGCTTGGATGTTTTGATGTTTTTATTGTCCTTGTGGGAGGGAGCTCATCCGTGCTCTCCCCAGATTCAAACCTGCGACCTGTTGGTCTTCAGTCCTGCTGGCACAGTGGTTTAACCCACTGCACCACCGGGAGCTCCTTGCATAACTTCTAATAATTATTAGGTTATAATTCATTGTTAATTTTCCCTCTTTCCAATTCATGTACATTGTATATTTCTTTGAACAATGTAACAGATGGAATACGTATATTCTGTAATCTTGCCATTCTTGGCCCACCTATCTCACTTTTCATACAAGGAGATCACTCCTATGAGCTGAACAAATTTTTAACTTTTTTTTTATAGCTAGAGGGGATCAAAGTTCCTTCCCAGTCGTATTAATGCTACAACGAAGATCTGCTGTCATATAGGCAACGTATTTCTAAAACTCTTCAGTCTGTACTTTTTAACCATCATATCATGTTTCCTAGCAACTGTGAGAAATGACTGTTGTTCCTTTATCATGTGACAAGGAAAAGGAAATTAATCTAAGCTGACAAAATATTATTCTGTTTTTCAGTTGTTTGTCTCACTTCTGAAATATTTGAAGTAATATGAAAGGGGGTGCTTTTGTGCTTGTGCCAGATCATGTCTGATACCACTGAGTACCCATAACCAATTTCCCTTCATACAGAGAAAATGTACTCTAGGATTATAATGTACAAGAGCTTTCAACTAAGAGGGTATGATTTCAGTCTGGTTTGAGTTTGTGGTCTCTCTTTGTAGACATTCTGTGATATACAGCACATTAATGTACTGTACTGTAACATAATTCAGAATATATTAACAACATTCACTGATGTTGGAAATGCTGAGTAAATATATGGCTAAAGTAACTGAGAATGTATTGCATAATCATGAAGCCCATATCCTTGGTTTTACTTACATATCACAAAATCTTCTCTCCAGCAATCTGCTAGGTTCTACATTTGATTTTTTGTGTGGTTTGTTCTCCTAGGAAGTACTATAGAGCTTTATTGGAGGGCCTAGCAAATTCCTATACAGGTTACCTCTCTAGAAATCTCTAGGTTGTCCAACACAACTCTGTGGTTGGTGGGACTGGAAGTGAGGAAAATTAATGTTTGATCATATCCATTGTTTTTATATAACTGCAGTCTAGCTGGGGGCATATTTTTGTTTGATTGCTTGATTGACTGATATAAATGCAACCTTTCTCTTGTCTTGAAACTCAAGGTATTTTACAAAAGGCTAAAATAAGATAAATGAACAAATACCACCCCCCCCCCCAAACATCACCTGATAATAAAAAAACACACCTAAATTACTCATCAAGATGTATTTTATAGAATAAATCATTTTAAAATATAACAATAAAGTTATATTTAGCAAACAAGTCCCATATAAAGCTCCCCCCCCCCAGGCAAACAATCATTACATGTCTGTGTGAATATGAAAGTCTTTGACTGCCAACAGAGGAGAACAGGAAGGAAGTCAGCTTAGCCCCACATTAAAGGGAATTTCAGAGGCTGAGATCAGTCAAGGAGAAGGCTTTCTCCCATACTAATGCCAGATGGACCTGCAATGGTAGTGAAATACATATACAGCCTTCTCCTGAGATCTTAAGACTCAGGCATGATCCCATAGGGAGATACGATTGTTCAGACAGCCTGTACCTAAGGTATATAAGGATTTATAGATCATATCTGTTATTTCGAATAGAGTCCAAAAAGAAACAGTAGACAGTGATACCCTCTGAAACATGATTTGTGTGCTCCCTTTTAACTGGCCTCAGTCAACGTTCTGACCAAAGCATTTTTACCTGCTGAAGTTTCTGAACAGTTTCCAAAAGCATCCTATACCCATTTCACCCCTCTTCAGGCACAGATCTCGCCAGCTCCCATCACATTATGTTGATCTGGTGAGGCTCTGTGACTGAAGAGGGGTGAAATTGGAGTAGGAGGGAGCAGCGACAACACAGGAGGTTTCCCATGTTGCATTGAAAATGGGGGAAAGCTGGGCAGTGACACTTCCATGGAATGAGGTAAGGGGGAAGGTGGGTGGTGTGGGGTGTGGGGTTCCCCACGCCCCCCATCAGGCCCCACCAGATTCGTCACAATGTGTGAATGCAATGAGGTCCCTAGAGTGCATTATAGTAATCCAACAGAATGCAATGAAGGCATATGTCAGATCTGAGTTTGTAAGGAACAGGAGCAGCTGGCACAGTAGACTTAACATAATTTATTGCTTGCAAAAGTCATGGCCCATTTGTTTTTACTGAAGGCTATGCTCCTTTTTATAAAAACATTGATTTTCTCTCTTTTTAAAAAGAACTGTAGCAATTTTATGGAAGATTCCACCATGAAGTGGATCAAACACTGAAACTAATCAAACCTTACATTGAAAAAAAAATCCTCTAGAAACCTTTACATTTACAATATTTTCTTTCTTCAAGACATGATAAAAGAATTATCCCATGATCTTTTCAAACAATGTTAACTATCTTGTAGTCATTCTGTACAGCCAGAATAAAGTGCTGTCTGGGGAGGGAACACAACTGAAACTAAAATGACTCAGAGGACTTATTTTTGGAGATACATTGCAATGGAAACTGATCTATTTTCCAACAGCAAAGATGGCCAATATTCTCTTTCAATACTGACTTCATTTTTCAAATAAATTGACATTGCAGATTAAACCATCAGTTTAAAATCCTGTATTACATGGCTGTTAACACTTTTTTTCACCTGGGAAGTCACATTTGTCTGCTTGGTTTTTACTTTTAAAAAATCATAAAAATGGCAAATTGATATATCCTGTTATGAATCTATATCATGGTGGCATTCAGTGGCATTTTACTACTGCAACATAAATGCCAGCAACATCAGGTCCTATACAAAAGAGGCCTGTCAAGTCTTCTTTTTTGCGATTGCTGTTTTTTAATTCTTTTCCCTAAACACTTAACTGATGCACTTATCAATGCTCTGCAGTTGCCTGATAACATCTTACCTATACCTTTGAAGTTTATGGATTTTGGCTAAATTTCCATTTGAATTTTGTCACCCTATATCTTCCTTCTTTATTTGTTTTCCTCACCTAGGTAATTGATAAAAGCAAACGAGACCCCTCTGAAGAAATTGAGATTCTTCTAAGATATGGACAGCACCCAAACATCATAACTCTCAAAGATGTAAGTTGCCTTCCATCAGTTCTGCACCCAGCACTAGCAAATTGATCTACAGAAATATTGGACATCTGTGTTATGGAAAATAGGGGGGATGACCCACTACAGTTAACTTTCATGGCCCTTTGTAGCTCACTCTATTGAGTCCAGTTGAATATTATATTTTAAAGAAAAATGTATTTTTTACAGTTGATTTAATTAGAGTTAATGCCACAGTAGGGAATCATAACATAAATTACTAAATTGCTGGTGTATTGTACTTGTGTGTGTGCTTTAATTTGGTTATATTTTTATTGTTTAATCTCATTTTAACTTTTATGACTTGTGGGATCTTAGCAATGTTTTTTTTAATTGTTGAAAGCTGCTCTGAGTCTCAGTCTAGGAAAAAGATGGAGTAGAATCATCACCATCATGACATTTTGTTACTTGTGCAGAAACCTTGGCATTCATGTACAATGAATAAGCAGAGCAGCTTTACATTTTGCTGAAGTCTAATGTCAGCCAGTTCTGCTCCTACAACCATTTGCAGAAAGGAAAAGGAATCTTCTTTCTCCTCATGAGGGCCCTTAAATGTAATCATTAGTGTCCTGCCTATATCCTATATATGTCTCAAGTATTAAGATTAAGTATTATCAAGTATTAAGTATTATCAAGATGTCATTGTCCATAGAAGAGACAATAAACTCCATATTGTGAAGATGGCCTCTAATGAGTGATAGAGTAATCTATTGTCTCACAAATCCCTCAAAAAGTCATCTCTTTGCTTCTCTTCACTTAAAGGTTTATGATGATGGAAAATATGTATATCTTGTGATGGAACTAATGAGAGGAGGAGAACTCTTAGACCGAATTCTTCGACAGAAATGCTTCTCAGAACGAGAGGCCAGTGATGTCCTTTGCACCATTACCAAGACTGTAGACTATTTACATTCCCAGGGAGTAAGTACCATTTCCGCTGTAGTCAATCTGCTTCCTATATACATTACAATAAAGATATTGACTAATAGGGAATACTGCCTCAAAAGGTAACAAAACCATGTAAATGTATAGGTGATTAATTTGCTTTTGAAAAGATATGCCTAGGATTTCAAAGGGAGTGACACCAGATCTTGAAGTTGTAAAAATCTTCCATACCCAAGACCGGGTTCCTACAACCCTCCTGGCTGAAGTATCAACTAAAATACTGACATATTATACTACTTATTAGAACCACAAATTTTCATTTTGAGTGGTTTGTAATAATTTGCAGGATTCTGTATTAATTCAATTTAAATTTAATGTTTATTGAAATTATATGTGTTCTAAGGCATTGAATAATTGCCTATATGTAAGCCGACTTGAGTCTCCTTTGGGGTAGAGAAAGGCAGGATATAAATAGAGGAAATAAATAAATAAATTTCCATTCTTTCATTTTCTGTCATAGAATAGATGACAAACCTCCTGGAAATCATTTTATTTTAAATATAGGTAACAGTGAAGATGTCCTCAAACATTTAAAGAACAGGTTACATTTTTTGATATTTTTCAAGATACCCCCCTCCCCTTGCAACCCTCACCCTCGGGGTGAGAAAAGCAGTAAATAATTACTTAGGTAGCATTATAAATATCTTTAACATTTCATTCAACCAGGCATATATGTAAATGAAAAAAATAGCCTTTTTCTTTGGCTTCTAACTTTAAAAAAGCCAATTCTCTCACACCAGAAGTGACTTGCAGTTTCTCAAGTTTCTCCTGACATAAAAAAACTTGAGAAACTGCAAGTCACTTCTGGTGTGAGAGAATTGGCTGTCTGCAAGGACATTGCCCAGGGGATTCCCAGATGTTTTGTCATCCTGTGGGAGGCTTCTCTCATGTCCCCGCATGAGAAGCTGGAGCTGACAGATGGGAGCTCACCCCACTCACCGGATTTGAACTGCCGACCTTTCGGTTAGCAGTCCTTCCGGCACAAGGGTTTAACCCATTACGCTACCGGGGGCTCTGGCTCCTGACTGAAATGCATCCTTATTTTTAATCCATTATCAAAATATGGCTTTATTACACAAAACAAAATTCTGACAATTACTGATAAATCTTAAAATTTCCCAGTTGAAAGTTTGGCACTTATCACTATACTACCTTATAGAATAACAATTGTAACTTTCTTTCCAGGTTGTTCACCGAGATCTGAAGCCTAGTAATATCCTGTACATGGATGAATCTGGTAACCCGGACTCTATCAGAATTTGTGATTTTGGATTTGCCAAACAACTGAGAGCTGAGAATGGCCTACTAATGACACCATGTTACACAGCCAATTTTGTAGCACCTGAGGTATGTGGAAGTCTATTTGGGAGGTAACTAAGACATGAAGCACTGAGGCCAGAAATGCCTGCCTCAAGAAAGGGTGCATCCCTGGCCACTGCAGCAGCCTAGCTTTCCAGATTAGTGCTGAGTCCAAGAACACACCAAGATGAACAACATACAAACCTGATATCTGAGAGGGAGGGCAACCCTATGCAGAACAGAGGAGGTGAGAAGGTAGCCAGGTGCCTCCTGGCAATAGATCATTGTAACGTGGAACTGGAGACTTTCAAAGTCCCTTCATAGCATCTGGGAAACCAAGACGTGAACTCAGCTATGGAAGCCTACTGGGTGATTTTCGGTTAGTCACACTCTCTTAGCCTCAGAACAAATGCTGTCAAAATAACCCCATAGTGGGATCATCGTAAGTCAAAAGGCACCCAGCAATAGTACAACACATTGTAGTCTCTAAACTGAGGGGTACATAGAGATTATGAATACGTAGCTGTCATGAGTGCATCATTCCAGTTTATGCATTTGTTACTGCAATGCAGGATTCTTTCTGACCATTATGATTAGGTCAGGATATGTGAGAAGGGGGAATAGCCTGCCATCTAGTGGGAACAATTGCAAGTAGGAAAACAAGCCATATTTCAAAAAAAGACCTGATCTTGCTTAGATTTAATTCTACACTAACCTTTATCCTCCCGTCTCCCAGCTTCTAATTTCATCAAAGCCTAGATGAAATTTATTTGTGTCCATATGGAACTGTGGGCAAAATATTCCTTCTATGTTAGCTAAGTACCACGTACTTTCAAATAACCAAAAATATGGTTTGGCTCTCTAGAGAAAGAATTTTACATGCTGGGTATTCATCAAACTGGCAGCTACATGCTGTGTTTTATTTACAAGCTCATTGATTCTCATTAGATAGCTGCCCCTGAAATTACATGGCTTGAAGACTCCTGCAGGGAGTTCTATGCTATTGATACATAATAAAAGCCAAAGTCATTGCATGGTTTTCATTGTTTCAAAATCCATTTGCTGCCTTGCAGTGGAGCTACATCATTAATTTACCAGAGAACCAATGCAATCAATTTTTGAAAAGCAAGCTTTAAAACTCAATAATTATCATTAGCTCTCTTTTCTAGTACCCTATTTTTGGTGAAAAATACTGGATTGCATTCTCCAGCAATTTGTAGCCAAGGAAGACATCATTATGTTTGACATTGTGTCCTTACGTTGTACATATTGTTTTATGCAGAAGTAAAGAACTAAATCTATTTTGGGCCCTAGTTGCACACACAGAAGGAATCAGACTTACATAAGTGTTAATTTAACAACAACAACAACAACACACTTTATTGATATTATGCCCTTCTCCGCCAGGAACTCAGAGCAGATTACAGCATTTACATACATAGACAAACATTCAGTGTGTTTTTTCAATCATATACAATGAGACAGACAAACACAAAGGCAGAGGCTTCTCCTTTCATTTCCGGCTACTGGGGGTGATGCTCATCTCTGACTCTGGGGAGGTGCTTTTTTCTCCACTCCATTTACTAGGTTTAGCTGCCTTATTCAGTGAACCTACTTTAATAGAGAATAATAATAAAAAAAACTATTTATATCCCACAGCCATCTCCCCAAAGGGACTTGGGGCAGCTTACATGGCACTTCAGGGTGCACATATAACATACAATATGTAAAAAGATACAAAAGTATAAAACAAGTCACATAAAATTATAACCACAACCCCTGTCAACACATGTAGCATAAAATGAAAATAATACAATTTTAAAACAACATTAGATAAAACTGCCATCAATTCACAAGGTGCCAAGTGTCAGCTTCATATGGGCCCATTCAGCCTACTCAAGGTCAAAGGCCTGTCTGAACATCTATATTTTCAGGTTGGACTAACTATTGGATTTACTATTGGAGACTAAATATTGGATTTAGCTCAGTAGTAGCATTATATTGATCGGAGACTTCAATAGATTTCTAAGAAGATAAGATGTTCTACGACAAGGCTAGGATGAATGTGGCCTGCAGGTTTGCCAAGAACATCAAGTGGTCTTTGTTGTATAGGTTGAATTTGAATAGGTAAATTGACTCCTTTCATTTGGTTCTATCAAGAACTAAAATATTAAGCAGCAAGACTCCTGTGGCACTTTAAAGAACAACAGATGGATTGTAACCTTTCACATACTGCAGCCATCTACCTCAAATGCATTCTTTCAATCTTATGCCACAACAAACACATCAGTCTTTAAAGACTCAGAGAGATATTCATTGCTTTGTTACAACAAATGATCATAACTGGGACCTCCATGTTTTGGAATTAAGCCAAATTATATTGGACATTTTGAAAGACTTTTGAAAATACATTGCTTAAGAAACAATTTTGATTTGGCTTGGCTGCAGGGTGGCCCATAACATGTCTTTGGAGCCAACAGCCAAGTTGTAAAGCACTAGTTGGCTATCTCTGGCATCAGTTGCTTTCTCCTTCTCCTAAGCATGGCTAAGTCTGCACAAGTGGAAAAAAGCATACTGAGTCTATAGCTGATGCTAGCAGTTTTCATGGTGCATAACGACTTTGGCAGGAATGTATATTTATCCCTTAACCCAAACTTTCTTCCCAGGAAGCAAAGTTGGAGTTTGTAGAAAACTTCAGGGTGTCCTTGGGATTTCTAGCCACATGGAGAGCTGAATCAGGTCCGTTTTGGCCTAGTTCATTGTCCACACACATAAACTGCCACCGTCATCCTTTCTCTGTGCTGATTGGAGCAGGGCGGAAGATGGAATGTCCTTTTGTTACTGTTTGTCCTCACTGGGCAGCAGCCTTTGGAGAACATGGCCATTGCTTGTCATATCTGCTGAAATCATAACTCTGGCGTCCAGAAGGAACATGGCTCTGAATTCTGATCAACATGGAGGGGCATGGCTCTGAATTGAGCAGGAACATGCTAGATCTGGGGCACAAAAGCTTCAGATTAACTTGACCCATTTAGGCATGCCCTATAAGTGACCATATTTGTTGGCAGAAGCTATGGAGGGTCAGGCATTGGTAGTACTAAGATGAGAAACCAGTTGACACCATGTGACATTAATTAGCTTGTAGGACCAAAGGTACATTTCAGTAGAAGGTAGATTCTAGTATTCCTGTTTTCTCTTTATTCAGCACACAAAAATCAAGCGTACAGAATTATTTCAAGATACTTCATGCTTTCATCATGCACTGTTAACTCATCATAGTGATTGATGCAAAATTTTCCAATCCAAATGAGTTTTTTAAAAAATGTATGCTGAAAGAAAAACGAACCAAGCCACTATAAAAATGTATTTACCAAAGTGGTGTAGAACATCTTTCTTTCTTTTTCTGAAGGTCTTAAAACGTCAAGGTTATGATGCAGCCTGCGATATCTGGAGCTTAGGAATTCTCTTGTACACAATGTTAGCAGGGTAGGTATTCCAGATTTTCTAATATTTGTACACTTCTGATAGTTAATGTTAATTCAAAGATCAAAACTTTCACAATACCATGAATGCTTAAGGAAAATGATAACGTGTTTCAGAAACAAATTAAAAATTCAAAACCCTTTTATTTTAATTCTGTAAGAGTGTCCAAGGACTTTTCCCAGTAATGAATGTTCCATTTTATTTCTTAGCTCTTCACGGTGTTATCTGTACTTCTGGTAGACAACAGATAAAGTTCAGGCAGCAATTGAAATGGTTAAAACCAAAAGTAAGCATAGAAGAGATTAGAGCTGTTGAAAAGCTTCTCTTAAATAAACTTATGCTGACACCTAAGAAGGAATGTGAAGTTGTTTTTTTTTTTGCAAGCTCCTTTCTCTAATTGTGCTCTTTGTATAGTTATACTGGCAACCTTTTTCTATTATCACCTAAATCACTGCCCCACCTTTTCTTTACCTACCCGAAACTAGGATATTATACAAGGCTTGAATGAAAAGTAATGCCTCCACCTTCGTAACTCAACAGATGGCAGTACTGATATGTGGCACGTAATGTCTTGTTCAGTAGACTCTCCTCTACAGTTCCATTTCAGCAGGAAGCGTTAGCATTGGACGGTTGTGTTGTTAAAGTGCTAAGTATGGAACCGTGCACAGATGGTTAGTCAATGCAACTTAAGCAACGTGCAGTCATTGAATTCTTGACAGCAGAAGGTGTCACCCCAAAGGAGATTCATCAGAGAAGGCAAGATGTTTATGGTGATTGTGTTGTTGTGAGTACTGTGCATAATTGGGTGAGTAAGTTTAAAGATGTTGAGATGGAAACATCTGACTTGCATGACGTCCTGTGACAGCAACCACCAAGTTTCACAAGCAAAAGATTGACAGATTGATTCAGGACAATCATTGTATCATTCAGAGAAATTTCAAGCATAATCAGCATTACACAAGAATGTGTGGGTCATATTATTGCTTTGCTTGGCTATTGGAAGATTCGTGCACAATGGGTACCCAGATGAGAGAACTGTGAGACGCTGGTTGCAGAAATAGTGTTGATTTCTTCCATGACAGCTTCAGAAAACTTGTTCATCATTGGCAGAAATGTATCCAATTGTCTGGTGATTGTCTGGATTATCTGGAAACCCATCCAAATCCAAGTAACGAAGGTGGAGGCATTACTTTTCATTCATAGTTGACGTGAAAAATGGAACCCCCTTCCCACTTTCTGTTTGTGTGGTGCATCTGAATTACAAGAGCTTTGGCCTCTAGGCTTGGAATCTTCCCAAGTTCAAAATATTCTCTACTCTGTTGCTCAAGTGCCAAGTTCCAGGTACCACTGCTTTTCAGTCCAGATTCTGAAGCACTCCTGTTCCCTATTATGTAATTCCAATAAAAAGAACAATTAGGATTTTAGTATCAATTATATTTTGCATGCATGAAATGTAAACATAGACAAAAAGCGTATTGCTTTGCTTTCCATTTGCCGAAAACATTGTGGCTTCTTTGACTTTGTGTCACAATGTACTACTCATCCTTTTTAAATTTTGTTTTTGGTGTGTGTGTGTCTTTTTGTTTAAGTTTTTTAATTACATTTTATTAAAGTGTAAAATATTCCTCAATTGCAGATAAGTTGCATAAAACTAGATGTTTGTGGGAAATTCTCTTTATATTCTGCAAAATATTTTGATATGAGTACCCTGTTTAAATCAAATACTTCTACACTGTACAAAGTTCTTTTTTAAAAACATCACTTGCTGTTTAACAGGTTTACTCCTTTTGCAAATGGACCAGATGATACGCCTGAGGAGATTCTGGCTAGAATTGGCAGTGGAAAATATGCACTCACTGGAGGCAACTGGGATTCAATATCTGATGCTGCTAAAGTAAATAGATAACATTACATTCTTATATTATCCTTCCAGATATTCTTTAATTTGTGGATGCTTCTGTAAGATCCAAGAAGTCCTATTTAATTTTACATTACTCTTCCATGTTCTAAACTTAATAGAAGACGAGCCTTTGGCTTGGAACATAGCAACCAAAGTACCCTAGGAATATGTGCATATTTCACAGTGGAAAAACATGTTTAGACTGCAATAATACCACCAGCAACAACAATAACATAAATAAATATTTAAATATTTTTACATATTAATGTATAAACAAGATAGAAGGAGTTGTGGGTGGCTACTTGTGAAATAAACTGATGCACATGTTTCCAAAGCCAGTATGCAAGCTATCTGTTGGTACAGCAGCCATGATTCTCACTGAAAGGAGATCTGTCATGTTGTCTCCATCTTATCTATTTATATAAACAAAACAAAAAACATGTATATATTGTATATACGTATGTATGTTTGTATTTCAAAGGGTCCAACTTGGCATGATGGATCTGATCCAAACTTGGTATACATATCCTTCATTATCTAAATCAAAATACTGGCTGGGTTTAAACTAAAAACATCCACCCCTTTTGTGACCTTATTTTATTGCCTAATTTTTAAAATGGCCTACATTGGTGGTCTATGAGCCTCATTCTGCAGCACTCAGATGCAACCACAAGAGGGCTTTATATAGAGGGAGAGATTATAAATGGAAGATAGTGAGAGCATCACTAGGAAGATACTCTAGGAGTCCCTCTCAGAGGGCATGGCTGCTGATATTTAGAGCATCAGCAGGAGCCTCTTAGCCAGAGTGTTGATGACATTCTCATGGAGGTGTTCTCAGAGGGCCAGTCAAAGATGGAAAAAAAAAGCAGGACAAGGGAGAAAAGAGGCAAACAGTGACCCCTATGACCCAGCTGCTGTGTTTTGGGGCATCAGAGGCAGTGGTGGCCTCTGTGGGAAAGAATCTTTAAAATGTAGATATCTCTGATTGGACCATTTATAAAATTGTAAACTGATAATGAGTATTTCTAATAAATAGCATTAGAAAATGCATACCTGGACAACACCAGGTATACTCTAGTAATTAATAAATTTTGTTGCTTTATCACTTGGTTGCTGGCTAGTTTATGGTACCAGATGATGATCCTATGATGTGTTTTCACACAGCTTTTGAAATAAAGGCTAAATAAGTCCTAACATATTTAAACACTGTGTTGAAAGCACTGAGAAACAGTTGGCAAGAGTGTCTCTTGCATCTCTTCCTGATTGTTGCAAGAATGACAGCTTTGGAATGATTCCAATTCAACAGCTTTAACACAAAAAGTGCACTAACAGGCCAAGGCTTGCATATAGCATTCTATTGCAGCTCAGGTCAGCAAACCAGAGATCTTATCAAATATTGTCATACCAATATGTCATTGCATTGCATTAATTCAGTCTTTTCTTGAAACTAATTGCATGGCATTGTGGTTCTCCCAAGTGATGCACCACTGTCGGGTCATTTGGAAATTGATCAAATTTCCTCTTGAAATACTGTGAGTTCTTAGAATCTGCTACAGTTTTGTTTCATGACCTCCTGTAGATACCAAAATCCATGGATGCTCAAGTCCCAGTACATACAATGGCATACTAAAATGGTATTGCTTCTATAAAATGGAAAACTCAAATGAATGCCAGATAATTCCTGACAATCTGTGAAATGGTGTGAAGCTACATATCAGCATAGTGCTCGATGCAATAGAATTAATTGATTTTGGAATTCTTTTACTAACTATTATTTACTCCTGTCTGCAATTCTCTTTTAACAGGATGTTGTGTCAAAGATGCTTCATGTAGATCCCCATCAGCGCTTAACAGCAACCCAGGTCCTAAGGCACCCATGGATAATAAACAGGGAATACCTGTCCCAAAATCAGCTCATCAGACAGGATGTACACTTGGTAAAGGTAAGTGGCTACTTTGCATGGCTGCATGCAGAAAAGTTGCCCGATGGTTTGAACATCAAGGTAAGAAAAGTGTAGTCCAAAGGCCAAATGAAGCCCCCAAACGCCACTTTGTAGTCCCCAAAGCAAAAATTTAAAAATCCATCTAAATTCCAGGCTAATTCTCCCACCCAATCAACTAAAAATTAGCCAGAAATGCAACAAGTCACTTTCATTACCACAACCACATGAACCCTCCCAAACAAACATTGAAATAGGCCTAAATGGTAGCCAGAGGTTGTGCAGTGTGACTTCCAACAGGCTAAAATGTGATGGTGTGAGCCATTAGGATTAGTGTAGGATATAAACTTGGCCCCTGCTCCCTCTGCATTGGCCGTCCTGCTCTTTATATAATTAAATTGGTTTTTCACACATTATCTGCCAGTTAGTATAATGAACTAGCAGGGGAAGGGAAGGTGTGTGTGTGGGTGTGTGCGAGAGAGAGAGAGGTTTCACTTTTGTGGATTTGATTTTATTAGTATGTTCTCTGTAGGAATCTCTAGATAAGAGTTTTCCAAGCTCTGTTGTGACAGGTTACTGTGTCAGCTGCAGTGTATAGGTGTGTCTTGCAAATATAACCAGTAATGACAAAAATCTTGAAAATGTATGTCATCTTACAAATAATGTATTTTAAAAATATAAATGAAAGATTTTCATGAGATACATTATGTCCTCATAGATTTTATTTTTACAAGTTATGTACCGTATATACACAAGTATAAGCCAACCCTAATTATATCACAAAAAACTAGAAAAACTTATTGACTTGAGTATAAGCCGAGGGTGGGAAATGCAGCAGCTACTGGTAAATTTCAAAATAAAAATATACCAATACAATTACATTAATTGAGGCATCATTAGGTTAAATGTTTTTGAATATTTACTGCATTTCAAAGAAAAACACTAAAAAAGCTCTGTAAGTGGAAAGGTAGGGTCAACAAAAACAACATGGTAACAACAATGACATAATAATAATAATAATAATAATAATAATAATAATAATAGAACTTATTTATTTATGTATTATTTATTTACTCCATTTGTATACCGCATTTATCAGCCTGAAGCGGCGACTCAATGCGGTTTACAATAAAAATAAACAACACGGACAATATATAAGACACACATACACAAACGACACACATATAGTCATCAACGCCTCAATTAGAGTCAGATCCCGTTCTCACAGTCCTTTTTTCGTTCCTTGTTCAATGCCGTCTTACTGAGTTAGTTGTCATTACATAGTTATCCGAATGCCTGCTCATAGAGCCACGTCTTAACCCTCCTCCGAAACACCAGCAACGAAGGGGCCTGCCTGATGTCCACTGGTAGGGCATTCCATAGCCGAGGGGCCACCACCGAGAAGGCCCTGTCTCTCGTCCCCGCCAACCGCACTTGTGACGCTGGCGGGACCGAGAGCAGGGCCTCCCCGGACGATCTTAACGTCCTCGCCGGTTCATAGGTGGAGATGCGTTCGGAGAGGTAAGTGGGGCCGGAACCGTGTAGGGCTTTATAGGCTAAAGCCAGCACCTTGAATTGTGCCCGGTAGCAAATTGGCAGCCAGTGGAGCTGGCTCAACAAGGGGGTGGTGTGCTCCCTGAGTGCCGCTCCCGTTAGCAACCTGGCTGCCGAGCGCTGGACCATCTGAAGCTTCCGGGCAGTCTTCAAGGGCAACCCCACGTAGAGCGCGTTGCAGTAATCTATGCGGGATGTGACGAGAGCGTGGACTACCGTGGCCAAGTCCGACTTCCCAAGATACGGGCGCAGCTGGCGCACGAGCCAGAGCTGTGCAAATGCTCCTCTGGAAACCGCTGAAACTTGGGGTTCCAAGCTTAGCGAAGAATCCAGAGTCACACCCAAGCTGCGAACCTGCGTCTTCAGGGGGAGTGCGACCCCGTCCAACACAGGCTGTAACCCTATACCCTGTTCGGCCTTCCGACTGACCAGGAGTACCTCTGTCTTGTCTGGATTGAGTTTCAATTTGTTCACCCTCATCCAGTCCGACACAGCGGCCAAGCACCGGTTCAGGACCTGGACAGCCTCCTTAGTAGTAGGTGGAAAGGAGTGACAGAGTTGGACGTCATCTGCGTACAGATAACACCGCACCCCGAAACTCCGGATGATCTCTCCCACGGCTTCATGTAGATGTTAAACAACATGGGGGACAGTATTGAACCCTGCGGGACCCCACAAGTCAATGGTTGTGAGGTCGAGCAGTTGTCCCCCAGCAACACCTTCTGGGTACGATCCTCTAGGAAGGACCTGAGCCACTGTAAAACAGTGCCCCCCAGGCCCATTCCCACAAGGCGTCCCAGAAGGATACCGTGGTCGACGGTATCGAAGGCCGCTGAGAGGTCCAGCAGAACCAACAGGGACACACTCCCCCTGTCAAGCTCACGCCGGAGATCATCCACTAAGGCGACCAAGGCTGTCTCGGTACCATGCCCCGGCCTAAAGCCAGACTGTGCCGGATCCAGATAATCAGTGTCTACCAAGAATGCTTGGAGTTGTGAGGCCACCACACGTTCCAGGACTTTGCCCAAAAAGGGGAGATTGGAAACAGGCCGATAGTTGACGAATTGAGTGGGGTCCAGTGATGGTTTTTTCAACAGTGGTTTTATAACAGCTTGTTTTAAGCTGGCTGGAATGTTGCCTTCCCGGAGGGAGGCATTAACCACCACCTTCACCCACTCGGCCAATCCCCCTCTGGCCTCCTTTAGAAGCCAGGATGGGCAGGGGTCTAGGATGCATGTGGTTGCTCTCATCCCTCCAAGCACCTCGTCCACATCCTCAGGTTTCACAAATTGAAACGAATCCATCAAAATCGGACAGACAGGTGTTCTCGTCACATCCTCAGAGACTGCCGTTAACATGGTATCCAGGCCCGAACGGATCAAAGCGACTTTGTCCGCAAAAAACCGTGCAAATGCTTCACAGCGGGCCGTCGAGTTGTCAGGGCTCCCATCCGGAATGGTGGGCTCGTTCCGGAGCGATCGTGTCTATTGCCCTGGTCATCTCCCCGTTCCAGAGAGTCACCAGGGCATCAACAGGATCACCAACCGAGGCAGCGGGAAACTCCCCAAGAGCCATCAGGAATCCATTCGGATCCATAAGCCTCCTGGGGCGGACCAACTTAATGGGTCCCCCACCTCTGCAGAGGTTAGGAGGTGCAGTAAGTCTAAAGCTGACCAGATGGTGGTCGGTCCATGGCAACGGAGAGATGGATAACTCCTCGACCCCGCCACCTTGCTCCCATCCTTGACAGAAGACCAAATCCAATGTGTGCCCAGCACTGTGGGTGGGGCCAGTTACTTGTTGGGACAGCCCCATGGTTGCCATGGAAGACATGAAGTCCTGAGCCGCTCCCACTAGGGCAGTCTCGGCGTGTATATTGAAGTCCCCCAGCACAAGAGCCGTTGGGACTCCAATGACAGGCTCGAGACCACCCCCGCTAGCTCAGGTAGGGAGACTGTAGTGCAGCGAGGTGGGCGGTACACTAACAGAATCCCTATTCTGTCCCGGTCTCCCACCCTCAGGTGGACACATTCAAAATTAGTCGACTGTGGGATGGGGCCTCTGGTCAGAGAGATTGAATTTTTATAGACTACCGCTACCCCGCCTCCCCGCCCTCCAGGTCTCGATTGGTGCTGTACGGAGAAGCCTGGAGGGCAAAGCTGGGTTAAATTTACTCCTCCAGCTTCGTCCAACCAGGTCTCCGTAATGCACGCCAGATCTGCCCGTTCCTCCAGAATTAGATCCTGGATGAAGGATGTTTTACCGTTGACAGATCTGGCGTTCAACAGCACCATCTTTAACCCGGAGGGACCGCCAGCCTGGGTGCACCCACTTACCCTGTCAGGAGACCGGTTACATGTTATTAAATTTTTTTGGTTTCTTTTTCTCTCTCTAGGCCGAATTTGGGTTATTAATTTTCTACTACTTTGGAGCCGAATTGGTAGCCGAATTGGTAGCCGAATTAATGGTCTCCCTTTCCCGCATCTCCCCCTCCCCATTATGGTTTCTATGGGGACCCCTCAGCCAATGGAATGCTCCTCTTCATCCATATTGCACTTCAAGATTGCAACCTCATCCCATGGTTCCCTCCAGGTTGTTTCCTTCGTTATCTTCCCCTTCTGCCGTCCTAATTCCTTCCAATTGTTCCCTGACCCTGCACTGCTGTTTCTGGGATCTCCCCACCCACTCCACCCTCTTCCCCCTCCCCCGTTTGCTAGCAATATTATTAGCAGGTACCACAAATTGAGGGCCGACATGGGTGTTCAAGAATAGCAGGTAATAAAGTGCAGGTAATAAAGTGCAGATGTTAACGTTTCAGAGTTATTAAGTGCTTGGAAGGCTAAGGTGCTGTAGAATGGCGCAATAGGGTTAAAGTGCACCAGTTTTAAAGTGCACAGTTTTAAAGTGCAGTAATATTCAATGGATATTATACTCAATGGGTAAGTGCAAATGGATGGAAAATTAGCAGCATTGGGTAAGACGGCTCTATTTCCTATGGTAACAATGTAGCAGCAATGCAGATTGTATTCCAGTTCTCAGTTTGTTATTATAACCAGTTCCTATTTGGCCCCCCCTCCCCCCAAACAACAAACTTGGGGCAGAGGGGCAGGGGAGAGTGGATATAAAGGCCCCCAAATGACGGCAGTTGTGGCCCTGACAAGGAGAAAATTGAGTAAAGGAAGCCACAACGGCTTCAGAATCTAACGTTGAGTTGATAGTATGATGTTCAATTCTTCCGGAGTAGAGGCAGATGAAGATGTTAATAAAAGATGGAATTTGATCCGATGGCCGACAATAGTTCTGTAGCAGCAGCTATGACACTACGGGGGGTTCTGCCATCCGGCTGGTGGCTCGAAGTCAAAGTAAGAGTCCCAGGCGAACCACTGCTCTCCGCTGGGTCAGGCGCGGATAGCGTCGCGTTACGGCGCCAGGATGTCCTCTACCGACGCGCCAGCACAGCAGATCCTGCAGATCCTAGAAGCTCCACCAAAGATGGGCTGCGGAGGATGGTCCTCGGAGATTGGCTCGCCGAGACAGCGCCACCTAGGGGTGCGGAGGGTCGCAGACCGGCTTGTACGGGCCCGGCCCGGCCGACCCCGAACTCCTGAAGGGTGGAAATATCGGCGGGGCAGCTCTCGGCAAGGTGTTAAAGGGTCTGGGCCCCGCGACCTCCGCCAGGATGGAGCCACGGAGGCCGCGTCAACCGGTCCACGCCGCGGAGAGCCCGACCACTCCCGGCCGGGGAACAGGGCGGCGTCGTTTGTATCCCACCCTATCTCCCCATGAGGACTCAGGCCGGTTTCCAACATAGTAACAAACAAACATTCAATGCCTATGTAAACAATGCAGAGTTAGATATAGATCTATAATTATATATACTAATTTCACATATGCATTTCCCCCTTAAACGTTTGCAAATCCTCTCTATGTGCATTTCCCTCCTGCAATATTTGCAAGCCCAATATATCTATATTCATATATATCTATTTAGACATCTCTCTATATATGGATAATTATATCTATATAGGATTTGCAGAGACTTGCAAACATGTGAGGGGAAAATTCATATAAAAATAATGTATACATATAGATACCGATATACAGGTACGTGGAAATTTCTAGACATCTGTATGTATATAGGAATTGCAAAGACCTGCAAACATATGAGGGGAAAACTTCAAAGGGAACAAAAATGGACATATAAAGTTAATACATTTAGACACACACACAAACAAAACCAGAAAATTGGATGGGTTTGAAAGAGAGCCATACAAACAAGGAGGACATGAAATATATCTCCCTCCTTCCCTCCCTTTTGACTGGAAAAGAAAACACACTGTGAAGGGAAGTGAAGAGGAGAGAGAAATATATCATATATTGCAAGCAATTGCTTCCAGGCTTTGCTGCCTGGCCTTGACCTTGACCCCATTATAAGCCAAAGGAGGCTTTTTCAGCTCAAAAAAGGGCTGTTGTCTTCGAGTATATATGGTAAGTGTCTGTATCTCTTATAATGGGTTGGTTTAACATCTGGTTTGCTAGCAACACTGAATAACTGTGCCACAAAATGATGCATGTCTAAAAAGTGTGGCACCAACCTGAAATGTTTGGAAAGCTCTGCTGTAGGACCACCAGTGAAACATTTATGGATGAACTAGAGATTTCTACCGATAGCGCGCGCGCGCACACACACACACACACACACATATATATAGGTGCTCCACCATGATTTTATGATCAACTTCTGATAGAGTTATTCTGTTTTCCCACTTTTATGGGGATTCTATTTCCCTTAATATGAAAAGCTGCCCTTACATAGTTTTATAAATATGGCTAGCCATGTCAGATAATGCTCTGGCTGATGAAAGCATAGCCAGAAGAAGCTCCTGGCCCAGCTATTTCCTTGTCTTTAAATGGGTGGGATCGGGGAAATGGGAAGAAGGAAAAGAAGGATTTGTTCTTAACTTCTCCATGTTCTGATCTTTTTTTAAAAAAAAACTTTGAATTTATTTTAATGGTTTTGAACTGGGATTTTTTTTACTGTCTATATTTAATCCTGTTTTAATGTTTGTATGTTTGTATATTTTAAATGGTTATGCTAATCCTTTTATGTTAAGCTGCTTTGAGTCCCCTTCAGGGGTGATAAAGCATGGTATAAATAAAAATAATAATCATCATTATCTGATCTTTCTTTTGCAGGGTGCAATGGCAGCCACCTACTTTGCTTTAAACCGAACACCTCAGGCACCAAGACTGGAACCTGTATTGTCCTCCAATCTTGCCCAGCGTCGGGGGATGAAAAGACTGACCTCAACGAGGTTGTAGTATCCCAAAAAAATGCCTAGCAGAAAAAAGGAGAACACACACCATATGTCAATCAGGGAGGCCGGAATACATTGCTAATTTTGCAGGACTCTGGACTATTGGCAAATACATTGCAAGAATTAGCAGAACTTCAGTATAAGGCAAAGATATTCTTTACTTTTAATTTCCTCTCTTTTTTTTACATTACCACCAAGATCCTGAGTTAGCAATTACTCAAAAATGTGCCAATTTTCAATTGCTTTATTGTTTCTTAATTTAAGTATAAATGGCTAAAATCCTGTTTTGTCCCCTCCTCCTTTTCTCCAAATGCTATTTTTGGAATCTTTTAGACGCTCTGTAAGACCACTTTTTTGTAAACATTTTTCAATAGGGAATCAATTAGTTTTGATTTTAGAAGTCAATACTACCATAGCATATGTGTCATGGTGAGTTGTCACAACTAGCAGATAATCCAGCTACCCATCTTCAGGTGCAATGAGGTTCATTTCCAGAGGACTGAATGAGATGTGATTTGTAACACTATTAATGTAATACACTGCTAAGAGGAATGCTTAATATGAAGGAAACAAGTAGAGTATCTGAACTACTTTTTCAAAAAGTCATTTTTATGTGTTTGGTTTGTGTAGAAATAAATGCATGGGGGTAAAACTGAGGCGGTATCTGCTGATCCATGTAGTCAACATCTACAAGGCCCCTCATGTAAATATCAAAAATGCACAATCTATATTACCCCAGATAAACTGTGGGTACATATCGCACATTCGGGAGCCTGTGATACTTCAGGTATTCATGCAAATACAGTGTATAATATATGCAGTTTGAGGATAGGCAGAGCTGATAAGATTTTGCCCTCTTTGCATTCATATCCACATGCATAAACACAAGGCAGTGATCCCTAAGGGCAGTATGTTATGCTACAAACTTCAATTTTAAAATAACAGTTCATGATGCCAGGCTAATGTCTACAGGAAGAAATCATCTAGTCTGTGGGTGCTTCCAGATGAGGTGCTTACTGTGCAATTGCATTGCCTGCTGATGGAATTACACCAGTGGTTCTCAACTTGTAGATTCCCAGATGTTTTGGCCTTCAACTTCCAGGAATCCTAACACTGGTAAACAGGCCTGGATTTCTGGGAGTTTGTAAGCCAAAACACCTACAGACCCACAGGTTGAGAACCACTGAATTATACAGTAGATCAGATAGTGTTTTCAATTTGAGCTCCCACTACATTTTTCCATCACTTCTTCTACTGTTTTTCTTACCAAAGCCCTTGCAAGGGTTAAAAATAATCAAACAGAACAGTTGCATAATATACTTTTCGAATACTAGAGGTAAGAGCCCTCCATCTGCAAGCACTCTGATCAGTCGTAGAAAAGAAGCTGTCAGTGGTGAATTTAAATCTATAGTGTTTCACAGTGTCAGAAAAAATAAGTTCCATTGTTATGTTGGATTAACAATCTAGTCCTATACATGTCTAACCAAAAGTTAAGCATCGTTGAAATCAATGGGATTTATTTTCTGTATGTCTGTATATGATTGCAGTCTAAAGGTTTTTCATTACTGTCTTGACTGTCATCAAGCACCAATTGGGATGACAAAAATAAGTAATCAGAAGTACCATGGAATTCAACAGAATTTACTCCCACCTGGGTTTGGCTGTATAGAATTGCAGTCTAAATGTCTTTAGTTATTTTCTTGGGCTTTGTCAAGAACAATCCAGGTGACAAAAATAAGTATATTTCCATCCATTAGCACTTAGATTGCTTCAATAATCCTCAATATTCAAGTCATTTATAATTTATAGCAACCTTATCACAGAGTTCTCTAGAGGAAAAAAATTCAAAGAGGGTTTGCCTTTGCCATTCTCCGAGTTTAAGAAGGTGTGACTTGCCCAAGGCCACCCAGTGGTATTCTGTAGCTTAATAAGAATTTGAGCTCTAGTCTCACGAATCATTGTTCACTGCTCAAACCACAACCCCACACTGGCTCTAAATGTCTGCTAATTTGGCTATGTTCTGCCAAATTTAGTGAGGAGTATTTTCAAATGAGTGAGTAGAGGATTGCAATCTAACCCCTTTGAAATCAATGAATTTAGGAGTATTCGTTTCAGAGTTGTATTATCATGGTTAGTTTAAGCACTTTACTTGATTTTCCTTTTCTTAATAGATGTTGTCAATTCTCAGAGTTATGCAGAAGAAATTAGTGTTCTGCATTCTCTTTCACTGCTTATGGAGTGGGTAATGAGGGAAGACAGAATATTGTATCCTACTGATTAGAGCAATTTATCTGACCCTAAATACAATTTGGGAGATCCATATTAACTGAGCCTGTATATGCAAGGAAGAAGAAGGTTCCATTGGCTACTGTAATTATACCACTGGGGTTTGTTTTTGTGCTCAACAAGCTATTACATAATTTATTTTATCTTATCTTTAATTTTAAATATATATTTAATACTTCATTTTATGTGCTGTACACATAGTGCCATAATAGAGCATTTGCTCTTCACATTTGCGTTTTGGAATAACAATGCTGTGTAACTCCATAAAATGAATGAATTTGTTCAAGTACAGCAGGGCATAATGTAGATATTAGAAATCTTGAAAATGTTGGCCTATTTTTATTATGTGTATCTAAAGGCAGCAAGATCTCTCCCTTCTTTGGTTGAACAGGATAGAATACACCTGTGCAACAAATATCTTCATGTGCCCTAGCCAGACCCTACAAAAAGTTATGGCATTTTTCATTGTTTACCCCTTTCCCTAGACTTGCTAACATTATAGGTCCACTTTACTAAGAAGCCTATTACTCAGGTCCATCCATGGATACTTCAGAAGATGTCATATTATACTGTTTGAGAGTCAAATCTCTAGTACAAATGGCAGGTGGAACACAATGAGAATGGATGAAAATAATTGAAATAACATGCCTTTCCTTCACATATTTATGTGTACATTATTCCAACAGGGCATGTTATATGCCACAAATTAAGTCCAAGCCAAATCCAATTTCATGTAGATAAGAATGGTTATTTCAAACACCATTTGGGTCATCCCCACCTGTATTATATGTGATACCTAGGTTGCTAGAGAACAGCTATCACTAGGTGGTAGAGCAGAGGATTACCATTGGAAGTTCAGTGCTCTGCCTCTCCAGCTCCCCTACAGAGGGTCTGCTAGTCAGGGTAGTCAGTGATGAGTTAAATGAACTTGCAACCTTAGTATAAAATTGCTTCCTATGTTTTCATTGCTGTTATTATCCCACTATATAAAATATGTAAAATTAAAATTGTGTAAATCTGCTGTTTAGTTACACAACCCCATGGACAGCTGAAATACAACTGATTTTTCTGGTTCTGAACAGTGGTGTCATTCTGCTCTCACAAAGCATGTCCTACATGTAGTAATGCCACTAGCCCTTGTCCAGTATTTGGAATCTTCTTGAATTAACTGTTTGTAACACAGGAGTTTCCATAGCCATATAACCTTACTGAATCAAGTGTCATTAACACTAGCAGTAGTCCTGAGAGTCATGGCATAACCTTTTGACTGTCATAATTAATATGCTTTGTATTTTGACACAAACTCCAGCCTCCACCATCTTGCACAACCTTTCTGTCACAAAGCTAAATTAATACTTCTGGTTTTAGATCAGTTTGAAGCCAACCCAATCAAGAGGCCATATAGATATTATGAACAACGTGGAATATGTAACAAACTACTTTAGTCTGCATAGACCTAATCCTATCAATGAGGTTTCCATTGCTTAAAACACATTTTGTACTGAGGTCTAAATCCAATTGATCATCCCAAGTGGAGTAAACCACTGAATCAATGAAATGAACATAAGTATTGATTTGTCATCAAGCAGTTGATTCAGTGGATCTACTTTACTTAGAACTAGTTGCTGGATTTAAGCCTTAAAAGTGTTATGGAACTATTCTTTAGAATGTATGCACAGTTAACCAAAAGTGAAACCTTTTTTTTAAAATGGGAAAGGGTCAGCAGATTTGCTGTAATAACACTAAAAAAGTTTTATGTTTTATAAATCGGTACTGTTCCGTTATCCTGACAGATTCCAAAAGGGGGCCTAGACAGAGAAAGGTAATCTGCATTATGTATTTGAATTCTTAAAATAGAAAGTCAAACTTATCAGTGAGTGTTTAACTTCCAAGTTTTAGTGTCAGGTTCTCTAAAACTGGAGATTCTTTTCTGTTTAGTGATTATACAGGTTCTAGCTATACAGGTTCTAGGTCTTCATTCTAATTTTGTTGGAATCACTATCTAAGGTCAACCTCACTGTTTCAACAGAACAGGATACTGAGACAGGTATGTTCGTGTTAAAATTGAAATGCCTAATCTCATTGTGCTTCAGTAATACTGAAACACAAGTGAGTCCCCTTCGGGGTGAGAAGGGCAGAGTGCAAATATGGAAAATAAATAAATAAATCTCATGCCCAATTACATATTCTTACAAACGCACATGTAGCTTGCAAGTCTTGGCATTTATCTTTGTATGTTGGTGTCACGAGGGCTTCCAGATGAATGATTCCTGATATTATCAGTCAAAAGGCATTTGGCCTTGGAGATCTAGCTTCAAATAATAATGCCCATGATTTCCAGGAATTACTGTCCATAGTTTGGGTACAGAACTGCAGCATTTATGTTTGCCATTCACAGATTGCTGGGACTCTTTTGCAAATTTGGCTCTTCTATCAGGCTTCAGTTGAGAGATGTTGGAGATGGAAAATGATTGTATGGAATTGGAGACAAGGGCTGTGTACATGAGATAGCATGCCTTGAGCTCTCCCTAACTAGTCTTTTGTTCTCTTATGCATCATGTAATGCAGTCCCATTACTAGTGGTAAATCAAAACCCAACTGATAGCTAAATTTTATAGGCAGAATACATGGAATGGTGTAGTTCTTCCCCTCGAGCAGCAAAAATGCCCTAGGCTGTCTGTCTCTGCTCCTCTGGCTTAATAAAATTAATACTTCAATTTCAATTTAATCCTCCTTCACGCAAAAGACATTACATCCCTAATTCTACAGAGAAAATTCATGGGATCATCACCATATACAATTCCTTCTCTTCCTCCTCATGATTGAGAAATAATGTTGGTAGGATTGGAGTTAGCCCATGCTAGCAATGACTTGCAAAGGGCAAATATTCTCAGTATTTATTTCTCAATTTGCTGGAAATATTAGAATCTAGTGGATGAACATAATTCATGTACACCTTATCATTATTTGATTTTTTTTTCTTAACAGTTTGTCTCATTTGTTACTTTGGGTATTTGTATTACTCAGTAGCTGCAAAACTGAAACAAACATGAGCCCCTTTAGAAACTAATGATGATAATTTCCATCTCAAGACACTCTCTTTAACTTAATCTGAATGAAATGAAGAAGGAAGATCATTTTTTCCATAGGCACAGAATCACATCTTTCATTCATATTTAGTTGTATAACTCGCTACCTGAGCTACTGAAGAATGTACTGTTTTGTAGATTCTAGACAAATTGTATTTACACAATTTATTTATACATTATAAAATAACCTGTGGGATGCCTTAAAGATTAAAAACACCAAATGGGTTCAAAATCTGATTTGCAGGAAACAATGGAACATTCCTTGGATTGTAAGGTTTGTGTAATGGTTTCAGAAGTATTAGTATTTCTAGAATGTGGTGCAGTGTTTTGTTTTTAAATTTCCACATCCATGTTTGTGAACGGTTTCGTTTGAAATGTCTATGCTTCAACCTTTCAAATCTGAAAGGGGCTACAGTTGTATATTGTATATGTACCAGAGATTTTTTTAAGAAGTAAAGTTGGTTTTATGAAGTGTTATATTTTTATAGCACAGTAATCATTTGGGACTTTGTTAGACACAATTGTCTCCAGGGAAGACAATTGATTCTATTTTCTGTGCACTGTGTCTACTGTTGCTGCTACAGCTGCTGGCCTCAGCTGCTGGGTGAATGATGTTGTGAAATGGTCTGAATTGATCTTCAGAGCTCTGTGTGTCTATGTGAAAGGATGATGCCAGGAGAAAAAAAAAGTGTATATGGGTCCATAGGGCAAGGGTTTACTGTGACAGGCTCCTAGGAAGGAACCTCAGTATTGGCCTTCATCTGTACATCTTTATTTATAAAGAAATAAAAAAAATCTATCAAATCTTTGTTGTTGATATAAGTATTTTTGTTGGACTAAATATTTAAGAGATTGGTAATAATGCTCTTTTCTGTCAACCTAGCAGTTCAAAAACATGAAAATGTGAGTAGAACAATAGGTACCGCTGCAGCAGGAATGTAACGCAGCTCCATGAAGTCACACTGGCCACATGACCTTGGAGGTGTCTATGGACAACGCCGGCTCTTCGGCTTAGAAATGGAGATGAGCACCATCCCCAAATCAGACACAACTAGACTTAATGTCAAGGGGAAACCTTTAACTCAGTGGTTCTCAACCTCGGGTCCCCAGATGTTTTTGGCCTTCAATTCCCAGAAATCCTAACAGCTGGTAAACTGGCTAGGATTTCTAGGAGTTGTGGGCCAAAAACATCTGGGGACCCCAGGTTGAGAACCACTGCTTTAACTTAATAATGCCTTAAAATCTCCTCCTCATATCCATACCCCAGTTAATACTCCTGCATTTTGACTTCGTCACAGAAACAAATCATAGAAATATATTCAGGGTTTATCATGTTGACCATACAGTAATATGTACCAAAATGCAAAACCAGTATTGGCCAGTCAAAAGGCAGAAACTATAAGACCAAAGTTAATTTTTAAAATCATACAGGATTAAAACAACAACATTCAAATAACAACCCTACATTTTGTATCAATTTTTTTTTCTCTGGTAGTTCAGTCAGTTTGGAGGGGTCTCAATATATGTAGAGGCCCTTCTTGGCCATGTAGATATTGAGATAAAGGACTGTAACCTTTAAATCCTGCAAATCTCTTGGGAAGACAGATGGACAAATGTCAGCGTGCTGGAAGAAGCAAAGACCACCAGCATTGAAGACAGATCACCATCTCCCGAAGCAGTTACTATACTTCCAACTCAAGAATTGAAAATGTAATGTTGGTGGACAGGAAAAGAGATTTAAATACAGGCTTAAAGCCAACCTTAAAAACTGTGGCATAGACACCGAAAACTGTGAAGCCCTGGCCCTTGAGTGCTCTAACTGGAGGTCAGCTGTGAGCAGCAGTGCTGCAGAATTCGAAGAGGCACAAATGGAGGAAAAAGGGAGAAATGTGCCAAGAGGAAGGCGCATCAAGCCAACCCTGACCAGGACCTCCTTCCACATGGAAACCGATGTCCTCACTGCAGGAGAACATGCAGATCAATAACAGGGCTCCACAGCCACCTATGAACCCAACACCAAGACACCAGACTTGGAGGACCATCCTCCTTGGGCTACGAGGGATCGCCTAAGAGAGAACTAGTAAATATCCATACCGTTTGTGTGAATGAGAATGCTTATTCAGGCAGCACTGAAATACAGGGTTAGTCAAAATGAATAGGCCAATAAGAAAATTAATTTTAGACGAATGTATGTTTACTGTAACCAAACCACAGCTACGTAGCGACAGATAAACTATCAAAGTTTATTTTGAGCAACACACATGTACGTTAATGCCGCTAGGCGTCGCTAGGGGTCGCTGTTTTCAAAATGGCGGAATCAAGCAAAGAGAAGGCGTTTTGTGTGATGACATTTGCTAAAACAATGTCAGTAATTACGGTCCAGCGAGAATTCAAGGGTTAGGGTTAGGGTTAGGGTTAGGGATAGGGTTAGGGTTAGGGTTAGGGTTAGGGATAGGGATAGGGTTAGGGTTAGGGTTAGGGTTAGGGTTAGGGTTAGGGTTAGGACCTCAACGAACACCTTTCCAGACGTTGCTGCATTCGATGCCATTACGTCGGATGTGCTGCAACGGATGTGGAATGAACTGGACTATCGCTTGGACATCTGCCGTGTCACACGGGGCGCCCATATCGAACATCTCTGAAGGTGAGACAAAACTTTGATAGTTTATCTGTCGCTACGTAGCTGTAGTTTGGTTACAATAAACATACATTCGTCTAAAATTAATTTTCTTATTGGCCTATTCATTTTGACTAACCCTGTATAAAGATAATATGCCTTAAAATGCATCTCCTACCAATAGGCAAATCACAAGGTTAAATTAAATTAAAGATGAAGAATGTACAGCCTGGATACCACAGGAGTTCTGTTCGGCAGCCCTGGAAAGTTCTGCATAGAACACAAGTTCATCTATTTGGTATTTGTATCTCACCCGTATAGATTGTTCTGCAACTGAAAACAACAAATTGAAACAAAGAAAAGGTTGAAAGCAGACATGATAACTGTGTTTGAAAGGATATCATAAGGAAGAGGGAGCAGGCTTGTTTTCTGCTGCCCTGGAGACTAAGACTTAGAGCTATGGGTTCAAATTACAAGAAAAGAGATTCCATCTAAACATTAGGAAAACTTCCTGACCATAAGAGTTGTTCAGCAGCAGAACTCTCTGCTTCGGAGTGTGGTGGAGGCTCCTAAAAAGAGGTAGGATGACCATCTGTCAGGGAGTTTTTATTGTGCTTTTCCTGTGCTGATGCACAATGCCTTAATTCCTATCCTGTGATCCCAATTAAGACTAGAAATGCTGAGATTTTAAAGATTACAATAGCTGTAGATCAATAAAAATTGTTTGGTAATTATAGCTCCAAAGCTTAAGTATGCTGTTCTTTTACACACATATAATGAGCAAAGTTTGTCATTTAAATCATAGAGTTAGTTATGCTAGTTATTAATTTGACCTGATTATTTGGGATCTCCAGCCTTGGGAGACAGTGTGCTTCAGAATACCATTTCGAAACAAAAGAGGATTAGCAGTGTTGTCCCCATGCCCTAGTCTTGGGCTTCCTAGAAAAATGTCATTAGTCATGGTAAAAACAAGATTTTCTGTTCTTTTAAAACCGTCCAGCAGAGTTCACATTCTTAGCTTTCTTTTGGCATTTTTATCAGTACACACGTACCCAATGCACATCAGTAAGAAATGGTCAAAAACAAAAGTCCTGATTAGTACTTGGACAGGAGACCACCAATAAGTGTCAGGTGGTGTGGGCTGTATTTTAGAAGGAAATGGAAAATTTTACCATTGACTATTCCTTTTCCAAAGAAGAGGACAACTTCAAGGTACAGACACACACAACGGTTTACTTAAGGTTCCTTGTGAAATTATTCTCCAGTCATTCGAAAAGACAATAGTGGTCAGTCAAGTTGAAGGCAGTAGGAAAAGAGGAAGGGGGTGCCTGTAACTGGAAACCAACTTGGCAGCAAATAACAGAAACTATTCTTCAGGTGTACAGAACTCAAGGATTTTATTGCCAACTAACTAAACCCCAGTAGCTGGTCAGTCATTTTTCAGAGCTTGGCAGTTTGACTCTACGAAACCAGCTGTCACTTTCCCTTTGATCCCGGTACTTTTGGAGAGGACATTCATGTTTACACTTTTCAGTTCAGTCATCCAGGGGATTTAAAGTTTAATAATCCACTATGCATGGACTCAAATAGTCTTTGTGTGTATATATACGAAAGGGAACTGGACCAAAGGTGACAACCAACAAAATTAGGCTAAAGGTTTATTTGTCTCCATAAACAAAGAGATTGTGGCAACAGTGCTTATGGGGAATGGAGGAATGCCCCAAGATCTGACCTGTAAACATATTCCTATCCTTTTTTTTCCCAAAATTTCCTCATAGTGGAAGACAGTATTATATAAATATCCTTTGATTAGGAATTGCAAAAAGGCCCAGACATGAATCAATCTTAAACTGCCTCATAAACATCTTCTCTTTCAGAAAAAGGAGTGTCTTACCGTTTCACCTTCCTATAAGCAAACAGTAGATGTCGAACTCAATTGCCTGTTTGGCAGGAGGTTAAAAGTCATGTAGGAAGAAAGGATTGCATAGATTAGGAATAATCTTTTCAAGATAAAATTATCTCCAGCTCTGAAACTGAAAGTTTTTAAAAGTCATTCAATACCTAGCCTTTTTACAAGAGCAATGCATGCATTTACCAGGCATGGGTAAAGTTGGGCCCTCCAGATGTTTTGGACTTCAACTTCCACAATTCCTAACAGCCTCAGGTCCCTTCCTTTTCCCCCTCAGCCGCTTAAGGGCCCAACTTTGTCCATGCCTGTTCTATGCTGTAAAACTAGGCCCCTTCCACATAGCTGAATAAAATCCCACATTATCTCCTTTGAACTGGAATATATGGCAGTGTGGACTCAGATAAATCAGTTAAAAGCAGATATTGTGCGATTTTCCACCTCGATATTCTGGGTTATATGGCTGTGTGGAAGGGCCCTTCCTTAATGCAGTTTGACATTAGTTAAACTGCTATGGCTCAATACTACAGAATCCCGAGAGTTGCCAGTTTAAAAAGGCAACTCTTTGGCAGAAATTTTTAAAAATAAAACGACATCTCCTATGAATCCATAGCATGGCAGTTAAAGTGGTATCGAACTGCATTAATTGCACGGTGTAGATGTGCCCCATTTTTTCCCATGTCAGGAGCGACTTGAGAAATTGCAAGTTGCTTCTGGCGTGAGAGAATTGGCTGTCTGCAAGGACGTTGTCCAGGGGACACCATGATGTTTGATGTTTTACTATCCTTGTGGAAGGCTTCTCTCATGTCCCCTGCTTGGGAAGCTGGAGCTGACAGAGGGAGCTCAACCTACTCTTTCTGGATTTGAACCACTGACCTGTCGGTCAACAGTCCTGCCGGCACAAGAAGAAGAAGAAGAAGAAGAAGAAGAAGAAGAAGAAGAAGAAGAAGAAGAAGAAGAAGAAGAAGAAGAAGAAGAAGAAGAAGAAGAAGAAGAATTATTATTGGTGGGATCATAAACCTGCAAAGGTAGTGAAAAATGAACATGCTAAAATACAGTGGGACTTTCAAACCCAGACTGACAAAGTTTTGGAACACAATACACCAGACATCACGATTATGGAAAAGAAAAAAGTTTGGATTATTGATGTTGCCATATCGGGTGACAGTCGCATTGAGGAAAAACAACAGGACCTCAAAATCGAACTGCAAAGGCTCTGGCATAAACCAGTACAGGTGGTCCCAGTGGTCATCAGCACACTGGGTGCCGTGCCAAAAGATCCCAGCCGGCATTTGGAAACAATAAACATTGACAAACAATAAACATTGACAAAATCACAATCTATCAACTGCAAAGGGCCACCTTACTTGTATCTGCATGCATCATTCGAAAATACATCACACAGTCCTAGATGTTTGGGAAGTGTTCGATTTGTGATTTTGTGATACGAAATCCAGCATATAGATCTCGTTTGCTGTGGCATACTGTGTTTTTGTGTCAGTAAAATAATAATAGTAATAATAATAACTTTATTTATATCCCGCCACCATCTTCCCGACGGAGACTCGGGGCGGCTAACATGGGGCGAAGCCCGAACAATTGCATCAAATCAAATGAAGTACATACAGCAAATAATATCAAATAAAATGTAAACAAACAAATTAGTACAAAATCAAATACAAGAAACAAAATAAAAGGAAGAAAAATAAAATAAAATGTGGACGGTGGGCTAGGCCAAATTAAAAGGGGTAGAATAAAATCTTAGCCAGGTTTTTAGACTCTTCCTGAAGGCTGTCAAGGTGGGTTTCATAGAATCAAAGAATCAAAGAGTTGGAAGAGACCTCATGGGCCATCCAGTCCAACCCCCTGCCAAGAAGCAGGAATGTTGCATTCAAAGTACCCCTGACAGATGGCCATCCAGCCTCTGCTTAAAAGCTTCCAAAGAAGGAGCCTCCACCACACTTCGGGGCAGAGAGTTCCACTGCTGAATGGCTCTCACAGTCAGGAAGTTCTTCCTTAGGTTCAGATGGAATCTCCTCTCTTGTAGTTTGAAGCCATTACTCCGTCCTAGTCTCCAGGGAAGCAGAAAACAAGCTTGCTCCCTCCCCCCTGTGGCTTCCTCTCACATATTTATACATGACTATCATATCTCCTCTCAGACTTCTCTTCTTCAGGCTAAACATGCCCAGCTCCTTAAGTCGCTCCTCATAGGGCTTGTTCTCCAGACCCTTTATCATTTTAGTCGCCCTTAGTAACCCAGTGATTCTCAACCTGTGTATCCCCAGGTGTTTTGGCCTACAACTCCCAGAAATCCAAAAACATCTGGTGACCCACAGGTTGTGACACATTGCGTCCAAAACACCCTTTGTCTTTCTGCGAGTACCAACAACGCTTGCCATTCTTCTTGCCCTTGACTGACAACGATGGGCGGGGCGTCTAGACGGGCAGGCCAGGCCACCGCTGCGCACCAATAAGAAACGCTGAGCTCCTCACGCGCAACCAATCCCGGCTCAAAGAAACGCGAACCACTTTTACGTAAGAGGCGGGAGGGGGAAAAGAATAATGGCTTTGAATTTTGCGACATGGATAAGGTTCATTTTACGGCACTGCTCCTCCATCACCGCCCCCTCCCTCTGGAAAAAAAGAAGAGGCGGTAATAGGAGGCGGCGGCGCCACCATGGAAACGGGGGCGTTGTCGTCGTAAAGCAGAAGCCGGGCGGGGTCGTGAAGCGTTCTCCTCTGTGGTGACAGCGGTTGAGGAGTTTGTCATTGGCAGCAGCAGCGGCGGCGTCGGTGGCGTCGGGCTGCGTCCGGGCCTTGTGTTTTCTCCTCCGGCCGCTGCCCTCAGCCTTCCTCCGCCATGGCGGCGGCGCTGGCGCGGAAAGCCGCGGATTATGTGCGCAGCAAGGACTTCAGGGACTACCTCATGAGGTCGGTAGGAGAGCGGGAAAGGCCCCTCCCCCCTCGCTCGGGCCTTCCCTCCCCTCCCCCCAGCTAGCCCTGGTCCTGAAGGAGGCATCGCCTTTGTTGCCCACCGCCTTGAGTCCCCGCGTGGGGAGGACAACCAATAAAGCCATGGAATAAATAAACTTTAATTAGAGATGTTCCTCGAACGGCCGCCTCCCCGTCGCATGTTCCATGTTTTGTAAAAGTACAGATTCACACGGGTTTTCTCCCTGGCTTTGCTTTTGCTCTCAGCAGAACAAGCTGTTGTTTTCTTGTTGTTGTGTGCGTTCAAGTCGTTCCCAGTGTATGGCAACCCAAAGAACAAGTTTTTGTGGGAGTTCCTGAGAGAGATTTGTTGACCGTTGCCCTCCTCTGAGGATGAGGGGGTGTGATCTGCCCAAGGTCACGCAGGCCCCATCTACACTGCCATTTAATACAGTTTCTGAATCCAGATTATTTTATTGGAACTGGATTATATGGCAGGATGGATCCAGTCTCCGTGGTTGTTTGGACCTTGGCTTCCAGGGTCTTAGAGGTGCATCTACACCAGGCATAGGCAAACTTCGGCCCTCTGGATGTTTTGGACTTCAACGTCCACAATACCTAGCAGGCTCTTAGGAATTGTGGGAGTTGAAGTCCAAAACAGTTTGCCCATGCCTGATCTACACTATAGAATTAATGCATTTTGATGCAACTTTAACTGCTAAGGCTCAGTGCTATAGAATCAGGGGAGTTATAGTTTTACATGGTCTTCAGTTTTCTCTGTCAAAGAGCGCAAACATAACTGTCATAATTCCATCACATTGTGTCAGCTAAAGTGGTGTCAAACTACATTAATTCCACAGTGTAGACATAAGTGCATCTCTACACTGTGGCTTGACAACAGTATAACTAACGACTACAGCTCGGTGCTGTGGGATCATGGGACCTGTCGTTTTAAAGGGTCTTTAAGCTTTCTCAGCAAAAGAGCGCAAGACTCCTGTATCAGGCATGTAGCCAGGGGGAGGAGCTTGAGGGGCTTCAGCGCCCCCCCCCCCCCGAAATTCTCAGGGTGGTCCGCGAGAAGGCCTTACTGGTACATTATTTTAAACTGTTATGTTTATTGATATCATGATCTGATCACCATGCTCAATATATCCCATATGCATGGGGGTATTGGGGTAATGATACAAAAGGTTTGCTAGGGTAGATCCTCACCCCCCCCCCCCCCCCCCCCTTGAATCAAACTCAGCCCCCCCCCCCCCATCAAACTCAGCAACCCCCGAATCAAAATCCTGGCTACAGGCCTGTCCTGTATACTTATTAATTGAGCAGAAGAGGAAAATCACCAGATATAGCTTCCCGTGCCCTGTCCTGTTCTACTTCTAACTATTCTGTTTGCACTACATGAAGACATACATTACTTCAGGAAATTGAGCAAGTCTGAATGGTGAAATCTTTCTGTACTGCCATGACTGGTAGGAATGTTGTTTTTTCAACAGAAGAAAGACATTTGACTTCTAGGAAAGGTCATATGCAGTGGACAAAAACAAAACGTCAGAAAATGTATTTAGGACTAAGAACCATTTTTTCCATAAAAGAGAAATATATCCAATTGAATATTGTAGTACAGGCAATTCCCAGGTTATAAACAAGATAGGTTTGTAGGTTTGTTCTGAAGTTGAATTTGTTTGTAAGTCAGAAAAGGTACATTTGTTAAGTGTAACTCCAGCCATATATATATATATATAGAGAGAGAGAGAGAGAGAGAGAGAGAGAGAGATTTGGATAGTATAACATCCCTGTGGTGTTTGTTTTTCTGTCTGTACCCCTTGTTCAGAATATTTCACCTCACTTCTGTCCCTGTGCTAATTGGATTTTGAAAAAAAAAAGGCTTGTTGTGGAAACAAGGATTGGTGAGAAAACTTCAGTGGAGACACCTTTTCCCCATGACAACTCTTTCAGAAGCAATTTCTCTTTCTAGGGGTAGATTTCTCTCACTTGTAGTTGTCTCACCCCCGTTTGTAACTATAAGTCAGATGCTTATAACTCAGGGACTACATGTACATTTTTCCCTAATTGTAATGCTATATAATCTCTTCTCTTAACTGTGATACAGTTGGGTTCAAGCATGTCTAAACATGATGTTGTTGAGAAAGAATTTGAAAGTGACACCAAGGTTCTTTACTAAACCTTCTGTAAATTGCAGAAGAAAAAGCAGCTTGTAAAATTGGCATCTTTTTCATAATTTAAAATGCTTTAAACCAGAGATTTGATAAAGAAGGAAGCAATCTCCATGTCACTACTGGTAGTTCTGTATTGAATTATTTCTCAATTCATCGTGCTACTTATTTGGCTTTATTTTCCCCCTTTTGCATCATTATTTGTGCATTTTGTTACTAAGACACTTCCTAGCAGGTGCTACCAGTGACTGTTCTGTTTTGAGAATTTCTGATTCAGGGTTTTCCATGTATTGTGTCTTAAATCTTCAGCATCTTAAAATGCAAAGTATACTTAATGCTCTGAAGTTTCTGACACCATTGTTTACCTTTTTACATTCTCGAAGGTTTATGACTTCTTTGGTCATAGTTTTCTGACTTGGGTTCATAAATGTCTTATATGAGTGAAAAATATTATGTATACTTCCTTGAGAACCCATGAGATTAAATTATTTCCTTGTCTTGCTTCAGGATCCTGGTATAGTTTTCCACAGTGTACCAGAAGCCTGCATTTCATTCAAAGATATGGCCATATTAGTCTGGAATATGAGTATTCAAGGGGATTTTGTGGCATCTTTGTGGCTGAGAGAAATTGCTGCATATGTTTTCATAGACCAGAGTTTCTCAAACTGTGCTCCTCCAGATGTTTTGGACTTCAGCTCCCACTGTTCCTAATAGCTGGTAAATACCTGGAGGAGCACAGTTTGAGAAACACTGTAATAGACAATGGGTGCATCTACATTGTGGAATGGATGCAGTTTTAATCCAGTTTAACAACTATGGTTCATTTGATCAAACCATAGAAGTTGTAGTTTGGTAAGGCACCCATACTGTTTGACAGAAAAATCTAAAGACATTGTGAAACCCGAGTACAATGGTAGTTTAAATTATGTAAAAACTACATTAATTCTGCAGTGTAGATGCACTTTATGTCTATGAAAGGTTATGCTATAAGCTCTTTTTTCAGTCTCAAAGATTCTACAGAGTCCCTTAAGTGTCAGAAGCAATTGTTAGGAATCCATAGTATGTGAAAAGGGAAAAAATGCAGAAACACTTCTTTTAGAGATCTAACTCTTTTCCTGCCAGCATTACTGTGTTTCCCCTCTTGTAACTAGATTATCTGTGGTTTACCTCAGCTCCTTAGTTGGTTCTCTTTTCAGTCTCATAACAGCAAATAAGAAATTTGAGGTTCTACAGTGAGAAATCCCAAGATTTTGCTTAATATTCATTTTTCAGAAACTTGAGACTGCTTCCATGTGATATAACCATATCCTGCACCATGTAGCACTTTCAAGTGCATTAATCACATCAGGAGGAAAGGCAATAATCAAGTTTGAAAAGGGACATGAATACACTTTTGTGGGCACATGCAATAAGGCTTGAAAATGTTTGTAACAGATATGAATATAACTTGTGATGTATGTTTCTTGATTTCTCCCAAATATCTGTTTTAACCATGCTCAGTGGTCTTTTCTTAGGAACAGAAGTCTATAAACATTGCTCTTTTTCAGAGAGTATGTACACTCATGTTTCTGGAATTACTAATATTTCCACTATGTTTTATTCCATTAAAGCAAAATACTATTTTTTTTCTCTTTCATGCATTCCCTTACATCTCGAACCATTATGGCTTTTCATAACAGTACGGTAAGGCACTATCTCTTTCCTTCCTTTATCTATATGTAATTATTGTTGTTAAATAGTTATGGATTGATCCAAAAACACACTCACGCTGGGATGTTATTCATTTTTCTGCTCCTTTATAACAAACTTATCACCTTATAACTCACCTATTCATTCTTTTATGAGTATAAAGAAGTTAAATGCTTATCGAGGCAGGGTGGACACAACGATCACACCTCTGCCCTCAGTATAATACAAATTAGAGGTTTGACCACAAGATAAATGTGAAAGTGACCGAATGTTCTTGGTAGTATTTGCCACCACCACCTCAGAATTACTGGCCTGAGAAACCAAAAGGTGTGAATGTATTATAGGTAATAGATGTTTGAGCACTTGATTTTCTATGGCTTCTTCCACTGGACGACTGGATTTTAAAAATGTGTTGAGAGAATGAGTTCTGAGGGAAACGAATGGATTGAGGCATACACCAGTTAAAAGTTAACTAAGAAAGAATTTATTTAACTTGATATTAACAACAACTCGTTGGAAATGAGTGGTACAGAATCTTGATTCAATTACAGAGGCTTAGCTGTTTAGACAGTTTTCCCTAAGAATGTAAATGAGAGAGGGCATAGTAAATAACATTAAGTTCTAAGATATAAGTTCAGAGTGTAACTCAACAATAGGGATAAGTATTATACTTTATGTCTAGCCTCATTACATCAGAACTCAATAATTTATCTAGGTTTGCAGTGAAAGCAATCCAACACAGAATCACTCATAATGGAGATAAGAATATTTCTTAAAAGAAATGTGGACTTAGTAAATATATCTGTAGCTTTTGTGTTTTGTGTATTGCATTTCTTACATTAAAAAGTGTAAACCTTATAATCTTACCCTTTATTGTATCATTTGTGTATTGTTGATTTTTCTTTTTTACTATAACCTGTTTTGGTTGCGTATAATAAAACTAAAGATGCTTCATGCTAGAATTAGTTTTGCCATTTGAAAGCCTAGCTAAAACTAAGGCTCAGCATGGGAAAAAGCTTCCTCACTTCTCTATATTTTACAGCACTTTTGGGGACCAGTAGCTAACTGGGGGCTGCCTATTGCTGCTATCAATGACATGAAGAAATCACCAGAGATCATCAGTGGACGAATGACATTTGGCAAGTAGTAAAATCTGACCTTGGAATGCATTGAGTAGTTCCTAGAGACAGGTCAAATGTATATTTGTTTGCTACATTTAATAGTATTTAAATTTCACTATGTTGAAATAGACACATCCAACAGAATTGACTACATTTTTACACCATAGGGCCATATAATGGTGGGGCAGTCAAGAACCACAGTCTATACTCTCATGTTCAACTACACATATGTTCATATTCATACTATCTAACTTACAAGAGGACAGAGTTTGACCTCTGCTCATGATGTTCCATTAAACCCTTATAGTGATGCTCCTCCATACCACCAGTAGTTGTACAGAACAATTTACATGAAGATAGCATGTAGAGAGGGCCATAATTACATGCTGTCCTTAAGTTTTATGGCAATGTTAAATGTGCTTTGGATGCTTATGAAAACCATATAGCAGGCATCCTCAAACTACGACCCTCCAGCTGTTTGGGCCTTCAACTCCCTGAATTCTTGGCAGTTGAACAAGCTCGTTAGGGCTTCTGGGAGTTGGAGGCCCAAACAGCTGGAGAATCACAGTTTGAGAGTGCCTGCCATATAGGTTTGACAGTGTCATAAATTCCCAACAAATGTGAGGTGTGAGTTCATTATTAGGAAAAAGCTGAAATGGTATCCTGTGTGCTTCAGCTGTTTGTGGAAATGAGTTGATTCTGTAGTTCTGTGTGTCTGAGCAGATGTAAATAAAAGGGGCTCCACTTCTGTTACAGTACTTGAATAGTCCTCATGCTACAAAACTCTTTTTTAAAAGTGGAGTCCAATAATTAATTGATGAAACATTACTCTATTAAAAATAAAAATTCTACTGAGGTTGTGCAGCCCTAAAGTATCTGTGAACACTAGTTGGCTGTTGTAAATTAATTATGGATGTTTGTTCAGATTTTATGTCAATATAATATTGCTGTCTATGTGGAGTTTAATTTATTGATATTAGGTTTAATTTACTAATGTTAGGTTTCAAGATGATGTTAGGTCTTAATGTTACTTTCATATGTGGGGGTCAGTTTCTGTGGGTTTTTATGGAGGTATTTAATATTTGCCGTTTATGTTGGAATTCACCCTGAGTCCCCTTGGGGAGATAGGGTGGAATACAAAAAGAATTCTTATTATCATCATCATCATTATGTGGCTCTCCATTCCTGTCTGTGACTGTCAGATTAAGCATCTGAAGTACCAGGATGTACATTCCCATCTTTTATTTTCTCTAGGAACAATTTTGTTTGGATCTGTTCGCCTTTAAAAAAAAACCCTGAAAAATTATTATTAATTCCCTTTTTGGTTGAGTTTCAGAAATGTTATTATAATACTCTTTTTTTAAAAAAAAAAAGTGAAAATGCTGCATGCTTACATCAGATGAGTAGATGCCACAGACCAGAATCATAGCTGACTTATATATTGAAATTGTGAGACTAGTAATGGGAACTAGATTTGCTAAACAGCTAATCTACACATCATTTCATCAGATAATCATAGTAATATAAATCTCTCCATAATGCTCCTGAAAACATTAATGCCAGCATCCCAATGAGGATGCAACATGCTCCATAGTAACAGAATGTTGAGTCTCATCCCTCTATATAAAATATGTGTATGTAAATGTTGGGTAGTTTATACCACAAAGGCTCCTACATGGCTTGATGGAGCTTTACCAAACTTGGTATACATACCTATCATAATCCAACTTAAAATACTTGGGGGTTGGGGGATGTGAGGAATTGATAATGGATAGTGGGACTTGTAGTCCAGCCGCACCCACAGAATCGTATTAATCCCCTTGACAATGGATCTGTATCAAACTTGGCTCACATGTCCTATACAATCAAGCATAAAATACTGTTGGCGTTTGGTGAACTGATATAGGATGGTGGGAGTTGGAGCCAGGCACATCTTCACTTCACTTAATTTCTTAATTAGTCGCTCTCCACCAAGGTGCTCCGAGCGACTTGCAATCTAAAATAGCATTTACACAATATAAAAACATTCAACATAAAAACATTCAACAGTGACTATTTGGCAAATTAGATCTGATTACTTAAATGCACAACCACACAGCCAAGTCTTGAGTTCCTTTACAAAAGGTCGCAACTCCAACATTGCTGTAATGTATGGAGGCAATGAGTTCCACAGAATTGGAGCATAGGTCGAAAAAGCTCTACATCTTGTAGCTTCCAGGTGGAAAGCTATGTGAATCCTATCTACAATGGGTCTGTATCAAACTTAGTACAGATACCCTTCATGATCCATTCAGTGAAAAAATTCACTGAATGTATCCCTGAAGCCTATATACAGTGGAACCCTTATTCAGACCTAGAACTGTTAAGTTTGAGAGCAGTTGCTCCTTTTGATTTTGCTTTGTGCCACTGAATTGAGCTATGTACTGGTGATTTTGGTAAATTGCATACTGTATGCTCTTTTGATTTTACACTTTGATATTACACATAGATTGTTTTGTGTTTGTTCCGATACCCTACAAGTATTCTGGGATATTGTATAGTAGTATTACTATGATCCAACTTAATAATTTGGTGAGATTTGGGGGAGAGGTCTGATACAGGATGATGAGAATCCAGCCACACCCAGAGAACCGTGTCATTATAACTTCCAATCCAGGCAGATCTAGTTGCAGCTTAACCAGGCTAATGGGAATTCCAACCCATCACCTATATGCTTTTATAAAAGATTTCATTATACAGCTATACATTTACTAATGGGGCCATTAATAAAATTGTAAAGCTAACTGAGAATTTCTAATAAATAGTATTAGAAAATGCATACCCACAAAATGCTGAATGCATAGAAAATAAAATTGACAAGTATAAAATAGAATGTCTTGCTTGAAATCCTTAAAAGTTATAGCATATTGGAGAAGGGTAAGACAGACTTAAACGTTATAGCATATTGGAGAAAGGTAAGACAGGAATCCTGAAGAGAAACACTCTTGCTAGGATTTGAAGATAAAATGTAACATTTTATTGTAGCTCCTGGTGATGGTGATAATTGGGTTCCAATCCAGTGGAAAGAGTACAAATATAACAATTATATTTATATAAAATAAAAGGGCAAATCAAGTATAGCTACTTCAGAGTAATAAACTGAATATTGGTTAAGAATGTAATAAAATGGAAAGCACAGTTTTAGTTCGTGAATCCCCTTAATCTTGTCAATCTTGCTTTTACAGCACTTTGCTGCTACTCATTGACCTTCATGAGGTTTGCATATAAGGTGCAACCCAGGAACTGGTTGCTGTTTGCCTGTCACTTTACTAATGAGTTCGCACAACTTATTCAAGGAGGACGATTGATTAAATACAAGTAGGTAAACTTTGAAATGTGACATTAAAATCAAAGGGGACAAATGAAATAGTTTCCATCTTACAGTACTGTTATATTCATAATCCTTTAGCTCCTGGTTAGTTGGAGAATATTATTCAATCCCCCCCCCCCCCCTTTCATGTCCTTTCTTTCTCTCTTTCTGGCAGCCTGGAAAAAAAGAACTGAGCATTTAAGAAGAGAAAATGGAAAAGGTGCTCCTAATTACAACCAAGAAAGGTCTTTGCCATCCACATTTGGTAGTTTTACATCACCATCATCCCGTGAAAACGTCTGTGCTAATATTCCACATTACATTTTATAATTCAACTTTTTAAAAGTGCTGAAAAGCAGTTTAAACACTACATCAGTTTGCTGCCTTACAAGTACTAAATCTTTATATTTGAGATTTTTCAAGCCATGCACATGCCAGCCTTTCTGAATTATTGAAAGATGGAAGAACTTCATTATGGATATTTGACAGCCATGCGCACAAATGTACTTGGTAATTCTGGTTCTGCCTCCTTAAATGCATTGAAATTGTATACTATATTACAGTACTTGCATTCAGGGCCCTCCATTCCTGAACATGTTTCTAGTTAAATTGTACATCCATCCTCCTCTTCAGCACTTTTCCGCTGACTGAAAGTGGGTAAATACTTGCTTAATGTTATATTCCCCTACCTTCATAAAACCAAATGGAAAGGGCAAAATCTGTAACAGTGGCTATGTTGGTTTAAACTACTCCCTCCCCGTGTTGCTCAAGCCTGCTGTGTGGCTGTACTTCAGTTATACTTTCACACAGCCTGCTTTTCTAAAATCTGATATTTTGGTCTGAAATACCAGTTTTGTGTGAATTAACCATTTGAACAAGGTATTTGCATGTTGGTATTACAGAAGAGTCTTGCACACCTTTTCAGAGACCTTGGCAGAAAGAGAACAGTTCTGCATTGCACTGAGAATATGCTGTGTCAATCTTGACATTTCATCTCAACTCTCCCATTTGTTACATGTTGTGGACCTTACATTCATACCAGTGTGTGAAATCCATATTATTTGTCAAATATTTTCCTAGAAATGCTGTGGTAAAAAAGCAGTAACGAAAGCACTTCATAAATTTAAGACCTCTGGGCAGATATATCTGAAGGATATTGTGCATTTAACTGGACATTTCTGAAGACAAGCATTTATTCATTTTCTTTTTGCCCACTTGTGCTACATTAGCTAGCATAAAAGAACAACTAGACTGTATATAATGGTTGTATTTTTAAGGCAACAACTCTGGGGCAGTAACCATTCCCACTGGGGAGAAGTTACAATTTGAAGATTTTAATCAAACTATTGGCAATAAAACAATTTTGAAGGACTTTTGTAATGATCATTTTCAACACTATTAAGAAAAATGTTACCTAACTTGCATTATTGGATTGTACAAAGATAGATGATGAATCTATGAAGGATGGGACTTTGCATATCTGATTTCCATTTGAGTTGTAATAATCTCACGATAATATTAATATATTAGTAAAAAAAACACACGTCTCCTCTCTTTCTGCTAATTGATCAGTGTGAGGCGGGTTCTGTTGGTCTGTGTTGGGTACAATGTAAAAAAAATGTATGGATAAAGACAAGAAGTTATGCAAAATACTGATAGGTCTGATTATCTGAAATGTAAATGCTCTTTCACAATTCCTTACTGTATTTGGGTCCTTTTTGTTCTTATTGTGTCTTGTAGATATAAAGTAGTGAGAATCATGTGGTTCTCGACATGTTGTTGGATTTCAACTGTCCTGGTCAGCATTGCCATTGGTGAAAAAGTCTGGAAGTTGTAATCCATTAGATGGAGGGCTATATTATTACCACCCCTATGGTATCAGTCTATGGCTTTAAGTGGAATCTTTAAAAAAACTGAGGCCACATCAGCTGTTCTCAAACCATTTTTAATGAAAAAAAGGAACCTGATCCTTATTGATTTGTCAAGCTTTATTATCGTTCCTTGTTAAAGATTTTTATCATGAAATGATAGAGTAGCACAGACTGATAATTTATTTGCCTTAAATCTAATCCTCCTTCTGTGTTACTTGAAATTTTGCTCCAGGTTTTCTGGCCTTCTGTAGATTTTGAGGATATATGAAAGGCTGATGTGTGGGTATATGTGTGTCAATTGTTTATACTAATGAAATCTCACATTAGATTTTGGTCCAATTGACATGGCATTTTGAAGACATACGGTATCACTCTAAAGTGTTTTTCCCAGTTTTTAAATTGTGGAAATGGCGTACACTCCTTTGGAATTATCTTCATTTCCATGACTGCTTGTTTTCTAGGCATAGTGTGCCCCCTCATGGTTTGAGAACAGCTGATGTGGCCTCAGTTTTTTTAAAAGAATCTACTTAAAGCCATAGACTAATACCATAGATTTTCTTTTGCCCTGATCGAATGGTCCTTTGACTACAATTTAATTGTCACGCCTTTCCTCAAAATATGTATCGTTTGTAGTTATTTATGTCATGTAAATCCTTTCTTTAGGGACATTCCATACAAACAGGTCACATAGCAAGCTGCATGAAATAACACTCTTAAATTTGATTAACATTTAGTTGCCTGATGATACCACTGAGCCAATATAGAAAGTACTGGGTTTTTTTCAAGATGTTCAAGAAAACAGGGAGATTATTGAGGCTTAACATTAAGAGAAATAATTGAGACAAGATTATAGATTGCAAGCTTGCAGGAAAGGATTAAACATCACCTTGGCCTTAAGAAAGAATAAGGGGAAACAAGACACAAATACGATCTGTAACTTAGGTGAACTACAGCTGGATGATTTCCCCACCCCATGAGAGAGACTTGATGGGAGGAAACTGAGACTAGAAGACATTAATTTTATGTTCTCCTCTGTAGTGTTACCATACAAGTGCAGGTTATAAAAAGTCCAAAGAATCACATTGAGGCTCCTTCCTCAAGTGGCAGTGCTTACATACAAGATATTTAGTAAGTGGTTACATGCATGCATTGGTAAATTACTATTTGGTAAATGATCTCCTAGATATTTAAACCATGTAATCTGTATTATTACTAATTAATGCTCATTTATAATACAGACAGTCCCTAGGTTATGAACAAGATAGGTTCTATAGGTTTGTTCTTAAGTTATATTTGTATGTAAGTCAGAAGAGGTACATATTTTAAGTGTAACTCCATCCATTTTTAAAAACTTTGGATAGCATAGGGAATGGTTAACATCCCTTTGTTGTTTGTTTTGCTTTCTGTGCCCCTATTTAGAAGATTTCTTCTCACTTTCTGTCCCTGTGATAATCAGATGTTGAAGAATTTATTGTGAAACAAACCTTGGTGATAAAATTTCAGTGGAGAAACCTTTTCCCCATGAAAACCTTCAGGAATGAATTTCCCTTCCTAGGGGTAGATTTCTCTCACTTCCTGTTGTCTCACCCCTGTTCTTAACTTTGAGTCATTTGTAGGTTGGATGTTTGTAACTCTGGGACTGCCTGTCTTGCCAAAACACCATGTGAAAGGCTGGGATGGCAGGCATGGTCATCTCTTGCTCACCCCTATCCCACTCTAGGTTTATAAAAGTGTGTCGGGGACAATCCTGTTGGGGTGATATGCAGATGGATGTAGATTTAATTAACATATTGTTAACTAAGATGAATGCCTGACTGGATGGAGAAGAATGAAGACATGTCTCCATCTGACTGGATGAAACTTTCAGCCAGGCAATCTTTAAAAAAAATCTTACTGTCATAGATTGCCATTTTAATTTAATTTTAGATTTAATAATTTCTTCTCTTGCTTATAGTGATTTACAGTGATAGGTGTCTCAATTCCTAATTGTGTTACAATTGAAATAATTTATTAATGAAATGAGCACAGTCGCAAAATATTGGAGATGCCATGACCTCATAGCGTGTATGTCAGAATTCAAACAATTATGATATAGCCATAGTATTGCCATTTCCTCCCTCATTTCTGGCATGTAGCTGTGCTTGCGTTTCTGCTGGCAGGCCTCCCTTTGTCTTTAGTCTCTTGGTTCACTTTGCATCCCATACGGCCTGCTCCCTTCCAGCTCTTTTTGCAGGTAACTATGGCAACATGCCTACTAATCTTCACCTGCTGTTAGTTCATTTTTAAAAAATGGGAAATTAAACGTAGGACAGATGGAGCAACTTTGCTGTAGGAATTGACCCAAATTCAGTACATTTTTAACTCTTGCTGACTATCCATGCTGATTTTTTTTATGATTAAAGAAATAGAAAAAAATAGAAATCTGAAAGGAGGGCAGTGTGCTGTATTAGAGTTAAAGTAGAATTTTCTGCCTAGAAATTACGTTTCTCAATTCTCGATTCTGAACATGGTGGAAGGTGTGCTTCTTTGTTCTACGAATTGCATATCCTGGTGTGAGCATTCTTACTCCTTGCTGCATTACATATTCCAGCATCTATATGATATAAATACTTTAAAGGTGACTGAAAAATTGATCTTTTCTCCACCAATTTCACAAGAATGGTACAGTATGTGTTCAGTGTTATACAGGCAGTCCCCGAGTTACAAACATCTGGTTTACAAATGAATCATAGTTAAGAACATGGGTGAGACAACAGGAAGAGAAATCTCCCTCCAGGAAGAGAAATTCACTCCTGGAAGGGTTATTGTGAGAAAAAGGTACTTCCACTCAAGCTTTCATCAATCCTTGTCTCCACAACAAGCCAAATTTTTCAAAATCCAATTATCACAGGGACAGAAAGTGAGGTGAAATCTTCTGAATAAGGGCACAGACAGCAAAACAAGCACCTCAGGAGTGTTAGCCTTTCCCTATGCTACCTAAAGCATGCATATATGCATACAGGAGTTGCACTTAAAAATGGACCTGTACCAACTTACATACTAATTAAGCTTAAGAACAAACCTACAGAACCTCTCTTGTTTGTAACTTGTGGACTGCCCAGGGATGTAGCCGGGGGGGGGGGGGGGGGCTTGAGGGGCTTCAGCCCCCCCCCCTGAAATTCTCATGGTGAAAAGGCCTTACTGGTGCATTATTTAAACTGTTATGTTTATTCATATCATGATCTGATCACCATACTCAATATATCCCATATGCATGGGGGTATTGGGGTAATGATACAAAAGGTTTGCTAGGTAGACCCTCTTTCACTCAGACTCAGCCCCCCCGAAACTCAGCCCCCCCCGAAACCCCCCTTAAAAAAATCCCCCCCCCCCTCGAATCGAAATCCTGGCTATGGGCCTGGGACTGCCTGTATCTGACTTGCCTGCTGGAATCTCCGGAACACCTCATAACTAACTCTAAAAATAGGTGGCAAACCTGTGAAAATTGGCATTTGAAGCAAATGTAAACTCATCATTAATCTATTATAGTTGTATAAGCAACAGCATGGAAACAATTTTCAGTCCTAGCTACAATTCCTCTGGTTCTGCTATATCATACTCCTGACTGCATACAAAGCCACTTCCAAGATCTTACTTGCGCTGTAAAATTATGCATTTATGTATGTATGGAAAATGAATATGTAGCACATGCTACAATGCATTTGCATACCCTTACTTTATAGTAGATATAACAGAGAAATTGCAAATTCTTCGGTTAGAATTTCCTTAGATACTAAAAAAAATTACAGAGCACAAAAGTGTGATAGCACCATTGAGATTAGTTGACTTTTTTGTGAATTACAAATCCACTTCCTTAACTGCCATGATGGGAGGAGTACCTTATTCAACCCTCAGAAATAAAGTTGATTTTATTTCACATACACACATACATACATACACACACACACACACACACACACATATATGAGAGAGAAATATCCATATCCATAAAGCCAGATGTGGGCATGGCAAAGTATGATTATGTATGTGTATATAGAGAGAGGGAGGATATCTATATCTATCTATCTATCCATAAAGCCATACGTGGACATGGCAAAGTGTGGTCTCTTCCAATAGGTGCATCTACACTGCAAGAAGGAATGCAGCTTTACCCCCCTTTACCTGCCACGACTCCATGGTCTGGAATCGGGAGGTGCAGTGTTAAACCAGTGTCTTTAGCCTTGTTTGCCAGAATGTTGGTGTCTCGGCAAACTACAACTCGGATTCCATAGCATTGTGTCCATGTGGTATCTCACTGCAGTAATTCTACTGTGTAGACTGCACTGGGACTGTGGCGCAGCTGGCCAGGTGTCAGCTGCATTAAGATCACTACTGACCGAAAGGTCATGAGTTCGAAGCCAGCCCGGGTTGGAGTGAGCTTCCGGCCAATTGTGTAGCTTGTTGTCGACCTTTGCAACCTGAAAGACAGTTGCATCTGTCAAGTAGGAAATCTAGGTACCACCTATGTGTGGGGAGGCTAATTTAACAAAATTTACAAGGCCATTAAAAAAAATCATCAGCAAAAGCGTGCAAGGAATGCTGAAAGTACTTCATCAGTCACAGATGACGGTGAAACAATAGCTCTCCTGGTGGCCAGAAAATTGGAATGTTAAATAGCCTCTGACTGTCTATGTGTTGTGTGTCTATGGCATTGAATGTTTGCCATGTATGTGTACATTGTAATCCGCCCTGAGTCCCCTGCGGGGTGAGGAGGGCAGAATATAAATACAGTAAATAAAATAAAATAAATAGACGCGCCCTGTGATTCAACGAGAGGGGAACCCTACAATACTGGGACTATGAGGAATAAATCAGTTTCTGCGCCGAAAGCGAAACAGCAAAACTGAAAAAGGCACGAGACCCTTGGAGAAGGAGAGTCGCCCACACTGTGTCCCGTTATCTCTTCCTCGCCCATCAGAAACCGGAAATGTATATGCAGAACGCGGCTACCCTTTCTCTACATACAGCCTGGGAGGCAACGGGAGTTCGAAGGGGGCGTGGCCAGCAGGTGGTTCTCGAGGGCGAGAAAGGGAAGAGGGGCGGGGTCAAGATGGCGGCGGAGGAAGGCTATGGATGGTTGGTTAACTGGACCGGAAGTGAGGTGTTTTCCTCGACTGTTGGCTTCCGGTCTGGTGGTTCCTGACGGGGCGAGTGAAAGAAGGGACGGCGAAGCGAAGCCCTCTGGGGAGGAAAGGGGGGCGCCCTTCTCGGCGGCAATGGAGAAGCTCCGGCGGGTGCTGAGTGGGCAGGACGACGAGGAGCAGGGGCTGACGTCGCAGGTGAGGCAGGGAAGGGAAGGGGCCTGCTTCCTCCGCTGCCTCCTGGTCTCCCCCGGGCCCCCTCTTTTCAGCAGAGACGAGTGACATTTACGAGTATTTCATTGGTGCCTTTTTTGGCCTGCAAGATCACCAGAGTCGTGCCCATTACATCAGCTAAACATATAATTCAAAACAGGTTTCAAATCATTTCCCTAGGCCAGGTTTCGCAAGTTTATTTACCTGAAAGTTTGAGCCAACTTATGGTATGGTGTGTTTTTTAGTATAGTGCTTAGCATGATTATTTAACTTAAGTCTAACTTTAGTTCTGTGTATATGTATTGGTATATTTATTCATCTTTATAATTCTTCCTCCCCCCTGAAGTTAACTGAAGTACGTTGTATAAAAATCAATAAAAAGAGAAAGAGAAAGCAAGGTCCCACCTACTCTGCCATTTAATTCAGTTTCATAATTCACTTCAACACTATTGAACTGCATTATATGGCAGTGTAGACTCAAATAATCTAGTTTAATAAAATAAATCCCATTGAAATTTAGGAGGCACTGCCTAAAGGAACCGCTGAAGATGCCAGGCACAGATACAGGTGAAACATTAGGCGAGAATGCTACAGGAACATGGCCATACAGCCCGAAATCTCGCAATCTATACTGCCATATACTGCAGTTTGAAATGGCATTATATACGGGCAATGTAGATTCATATAATGCAGTTCAGTGCCATTAAACTATATTAAGTAAAGGTAAAAGGTTTCCCATTGACATTAAGTCTAGTTGTGCCCAACTCTGGGGGCATTGTCTGTAGGCACATCCAAGGTTATGTGGCCTGCATGACTGCATGGAGCGTTGTTACCTTCCCACAGAAGGTACCTATTGATCTACTCACATTTTCATGTGTTTGAACTGCTAGGTTGGCAGAAGCTGGGGCTAACAGCAGGAGCTTACCTCGCTCCCTGAATTCAAACTGCCACTCTTTTGGTCAGCAAGCTCTCAGTGGTTTAACCTGTTGTGCCACCAGGAACTCCTAAACTGCATTATATGAGTCAATACTGTCTATATAGTGTAGCTTCAATCATTATATGCCAGTGTAGATGGGGCTGTACTCTCTATCCATTAAAGTTGATTTTTACACTCCACTTTATCTGTAATGAGACCCAGTAAATTATCGCCTCTTTTTAATCAATAATAATTCTTATCAAGAGAAAAAGTGGGATGGCACATGGTAGTAACTATTTTGTCAAAGGAAGAAATTTTACTAAGGATGATAGCAAAGAAGGGAGTGTGGAATAGAGGTCTAAGTTACAGCTGGAGCCTGATATTGATTGTTTATTTTTCCACATTTCCGTTAATTGTGGGAATTAAAGGTGACTTACAGCATATTGACAACAATACATATTAAAACTATGAAAAATGTTTAATATAAGTAAATATGGAAGTTATTTTTTTAATATTGTATTTCATAATTTCTAAGATGTGCCTTTTTCTCCATATAAACACCTCTAAAATTGGGGCCTGTATTAGAATCACATATACTTTTTAATTTATGTAAATAAAACTTTTTTCAGTTGGTGGTACTGAAATTAGTGTGCTGCATACAATCAATAGCATCTTAGAATGGAGGAAAATATGGTATTTTAAAGCAACTTATAATTTAAAAAATAAACATATGAACATTAAAAGTTATTATATTGATAACCTTTTCTTTTTTTGCTGCATATAAAAGAAAGAGGTTAGGTTTTCATTTTGTGCCAGGGTTTACATAATTTTTTTAACTTTTGAGAATCCATGCTCCCTATGGGTTTCTAGGAGTGTAGTTCAGAACATGGATGTTCTGATATAAAGGTGAGCAATTTCTTTGCTTGGATTCGGATATACAGTGGAAGTGTAATTGTTTTCCTTCACCAGAGACTTTAGCAACCTTTGGTCCTTTGGGTGTTTTGGATTTCAACTCTTTAAAATCCCAGCCGGCTTATCAGCTGTTAGAAATTGTGGGAGCTGAAGTCCAAAATACCTGGAGGACCAAAGGTTGGGAACCACTGTGATTATAATGTTTGGGTTGCTGTATGGCCATGTTCCAGCAGCATATTCTCCTAATGTTAAGCCTGCCTGAAAAACTCACAGCAACCTAGTGAAAGACTTCAACAATAGAAGATTTAATTGAGGGGTTAAGTGCAACATATGAGGGATGATATAGAAAACATGAAGAACATGAAGTAGGGGCTTTCATACTTCACAATTCGGTGAAAGAACACATTGCTTTATAAAGGGTGGGCCAAAAGTCACAATGGCATCTGATGTTTTGATAACTTTTTAAAAAACAACATGGAAAAGGTTTTATGCATATTATAGTTTTATTTCTTATATTTTATTTCTGTATACTGTTTATGATGCTATAGTATTGTTAATAAATAACACAAATAATGACGTTACTAAATATTTCAAAAGGCTTTTCACTCCATGTTCTAGCTGAAGATTAAGATGTCTTTCAGGTTTTGTTTTCCTGTTTGGCTGTCCACAACAAGCACCTTTGCATTGGAGCTGGGGGGAAAGTTAGGGAGTGGCCCAAACTGGTTGGTGGAAGGTGACCAGGGCCAGCATGTCATGTGATCATTCCTGCCAGAAAATGGGCTTGGTCATGGTTATTTTAAAAAAAAAAAGCATGGTTTTGTGTAATGTTTCTAGATATTTAAATAAGGCAAAACTTAGTTTTTCAAAATATGTGCTCTGAAATATGATTTCCTCTGTCTCACTTTGTATTAGTTTTGAATTGTTAATTTTTCCCTCCTTGCTATCCATAAAAGGATAAAGATTTGGATCAGGAAAGGTAAGATAGATTATCTAATATTTTGAAAGCTTTAATTATTCGTTCCTGTAAAAAGGCAAGATAATTCTAAGTTTGCCTTTAGTAATCGGGCTAATGTCCAGAACAATGTCTAGTTTTTTATAAGAGTTGGAATAATTAAGGGTAGATACTGGCTAGAGCTGATACTACTACGGTATCTCCTTTCAGTATAGCATCCCTTAGCATGAAGAGGAAGACAAATGGATCTACACAGTTTTCACTTACTTGGGTTTGTCAGTGAACTAGTGATTAAAACACTGATGTATCTACTCTATACTATGTATCCAAAGTTTAAATATTGTATATTTTAATGCCTGTCTAAAATTGTATGTTCCTTAGATAAAATTTATAATATCTTAAACTGACATAAAATAATTAATTGCAGGGAAAACTGAGCTCAAGCATTATACACATGGCATGCCAGTTCCTACTTAGATGCAGGGTTGATGGGAAGGAGTAGAGCAGGAACTATAAGTCTTTTTCATTCCCCTTGGAATATAACTCCTGCCTCCAGGAAATGGCTCATTTTAAAACACGTGAAGAATCATTCATTGTGCCCATCTGACTGATCTTGTTTTTTGTGATTTCTGACTGTCCGAGTTTGCAACTTGCTCAAGGTTCAAAGCAAAGAAGAATGCTTGCTTTTCCAATAAAAATAAAATGTTTTTCCTAGTAAAGTTCCAACTTCTTAGCTGAACATATTTGTCACCCTTTAGAAAAGCAAAAACATCTATTTTAGAATGGGTGCAACATAAGTTGGTCTTTGCTTACATGTATTCACTGATGATATTCACTTCAAAATGGGTAGGTGGTCGTTCCTTGCCTCTGAGACCAGTGTAAAAAGTTTGCCTTCTGAAACAGTTGTGAACAGCTCTCAGTGGTTAGAAATGAGAGAGGGGAATGATCACTAAGCTGGATGGAGCAGAAAGATATTTATGTGGAGAGAGAGGTAGAGTATGTGTGTATATATGCATATGCTTGGGAACACATATTTGTGGTTTCACTTATTCATACCTAGTGATTTTCTAGATCTTCTGGATAATCCTACTACTATTTTTATGTTTCCCCAGGAAGTTACCATAGACTTGTGTTGGAAGACCTAGCAATTCCTACAGAGAGTACTTCTCTAGTAATCTCTTGATCCTCCACCATAATTGTGTGGTATATAGGGACCAGAAATGAGATAATGTATACTCCGTTGTCCACATTTGCTGGGCTTAGGGGCATAGAACCCATATGAAAGTGAAAAATTGCTGGTTTTACATTGTATTTATTGTCTATTACCATTATGTAAACTCAATAAATATATTTTTATTTGTTTATTTTACCCAAGAGGTCCTCCAGCATTACTCTGGTGAACTTCTGGAAGCTGAGTGTAGAATTGTAATGGAGAATCTAAAATGTTCATTAAGAGAACATTTTATTCAAATCTTTGAATAATCAAATCTGCAAAAAAGTCAAAACCACAAATATGGAGGGTCGGCTGTAATGACCTTCAGTTGCATCTGTAGTTTCACATAACCACAGTTTGGCCTGGTGTGTTTCTCTGTGGATACAGGGATATTATTTTATATATTCTTCCAGCCCCTGCCAGCATGTGATGTGCCTCAAGGACAGAATGCTTTCAGGTTGCTAATTAGAAAAATGTTAGGTGGAGATAACTTTGAAAACTAGTATAACTGAAGAGAAGGAACTGTAACAAAAGAGAAAACAATGTTACTAGATGTGAAGATTTCCTCTTAGATACTATGTGTGCTCTCACTATCAGCATCATTTAAATTACTATCTTGCATAGCTTCATTCCATTGTAATGAAATGAAAAAGCTTTCTCGTATTGGCACAATCTGGGCATGCTGTGTGTTCTCTGAAAACCATCTGGCTAGCAGAGATGACCTCCTTACTTGGAACTTTGTTTGAATCATTCTCAGATAAGAGGAATATGTTTGTATTGGGATTTACATTGACCACCATGATTCCGGCATTGGTAAAGTCTTGATAATTTATTCTTTTGATAAACTCTAATATCCTCTTTCTTCTTTTTTAATCCGAAGGTACTTGATTCGTCATCTCTTAGTTTTAGTACCCGGGTGAAATGGTTTGCCATCTGTTTTGCAAGTGGCATATTGTGTTCTATTCTTGTAAGTAAATAAATACAATTTTGAGCTTATGAAAAAGGAAGAGTGTTTTGAATTTATATGTACCTGCTTTACCTTTATGTTCATAGAACAATGTTGCACAGATTCGTGTTCCTCGGGTTAAAAAAAGTCTGCCTACTTGTTAATCAGAGAACGTGTTCATGGCATTCTACCATTCCAGAATGAAAATAAGACAGTGTATGTTTTGTTTCTTATGACAGAATCTCTCTGCCCCAGGCCAGCAGGGAGTGTTTTATGTGGGAAATAGACCATTCAAAAAAGTTCTCCTCCTGGAGAGTGTGACCATGAATTGTGTATGACAGTGGTTGGTATGCAAATCGTTTTCACTTGAAAATATATCCGTTGCCTTTTCCATATATTACCTTACCTTGAAATACTAGAAATCAAGTCTATGAGGGTTAGTGAGGAAGTCTACATCAATAAATGCAAAGGAAGAACGCAGCAAAACTCAAGTCTATTGAACCTCATAGAGAAGGCTAAGAAATTAGCACGATAACTCTGTTGGATTCACCTTTACGAGTAGTTCCTCAAAATGGAAGATTTATTTGAGGACTGTAAATCATGCAATATCTATGAATATACCAAGGGAAAAAACTAATTCACCCAGGGCATTCTGAAGCTGAGAAAGATCTAGATGTCATGGGTGCAGTATTAGAGGAACATTAGGTCTTCATTAAAGTTGGGGCTTTTGTTCCCTCTATTGAAATAACTTACCTCTTGTTTTCCAATCTATATGAAACTTGTATACACCCTGACTGAACAATTCTCGTTTTCCATCAGTTATGTCTTGGCTTTAAAATATAACATAAGCTTTGACATTCAGTACCCAATTCTTATTTGTTCCTCATCTTGTCCTGGAATTGATTCCAGTTGGTTTTTGTTGAAACCTCACTGTGCTTGCTAATGACTAATCATAATTCATAATGTTCATGATATCTTTAGAGCCCAATATGGCTGAAGTCCAGGCTGTTGGGCTGATTGTACCTCCCTGTATAAGCCTGCCTGGACCCTGAGATTGATTAACTGTTTTTAATAGCTTCAACTGGATGTTTGAATTGTTTTGCCACATAAATAGTTTAATTCTATTGTAATGTTCAATTTTTATAAGATGCCATATTTTGTTGGACGTGCATAAAGGAAACCACCTGTATTGATCTCATGGATGTAGAGTTTTTGCTTGTTAACTTTAGTATATCCAATTGCCAGTAGAGGGTAATAGAGCTGTGTTCTCCAAGTTTGCTGCTGTGTTGCTTTGATAAAAATGTTATTGTCTTCTACTAAGGCTTTCCTGCATAGGTTAAGTATGCAACTGCTTTACTTTGTGTAGGGGACAGCAATGCTGTGGCTCCCAGGTGGTGGTATGAAACTCTTTGCAGTATTCTACACATTAGGAAATATTTCTGCTTTATCCAGGTATGATTTTGTTTATTTTTAATGTTTTTAAATGGTTCATTTATTGTGTATCTGCAGTCATAAATATTAAGATACTGAATGTGCTGTTCTTTAAAGTGTGTAAATAATAAACACTTTAACTCTCCCTCTAAAATTAAAAATGGCTTGTGCAAGTGCTCTGAAAGTTCTAGAAGTGGAGGAGTGAGAAAATAGGTCTTATATTAAATAAGGCCCAGATAACTATAGCTTCCCATCCCATTTAGCTTATGCATTTAAATCTGTGTTCATGTGTATTGATCTTCAGATGCGTTGGCCTCAGTTCTTATTACTGTCTTGGCTGCATATTGATAGTGGAAGTTGTAATCCACATATATGAAGGACATAAATTTGGGCAAGGCTATGTATGCATATTTTCAAAATCTAATTGTTTACTCCAGTAGCAACTTTTTGTTTCCCTCTGTTTCGCCTTGTCCCAGTAAAACATTTATACTAATAGATAGATGTCTATTTCTCTGGCAGTAATTTACTTGGACTAGTATCAGCACTGCAGACAGACACATGAAACGTTATAAAGCCATTTCATTGTCTCAAGGTAAAAGTTATATCAATTGACAATAGTATGCCCTTAGTTTGTTAACACTTTCCTTATCAAGATGAGCCTTTCATGATTTTTCTGGTAACTAATGTGTATGCATACAGTTTCAGTAATTTAAATTGTTGATAATTATAATGAAGTTCCACTAAGAATTGGTACAAGACATATCCTTTATAAAATGTTGTGTTTCATTGGGATTTAGTATCCCTGAATATTCTTGCCCAGCATGAACAATTTCTATTGTGATTATGCTGTCTGGAAGAATGGGATGCTTAAATTATTTTCACATTTTTGTCACTCCAAAAAAAAGTTCTTCTTTTGTCCTTCTTAGTTTTCATTTGTAATTTCATGCGATCATGAGATAGGAAAAGATGGAATAGTGCAACGACAAATCTGAATGGCCACAGACTACTATATTGGATTACGTGATTTTAAATAATTAGTTTAAGGTTTTATTATGTTTTGATGATTGTTTTAATGATTATGTTTTTTTATTATATGGTGGGTTTTTTGCATCTAATTGTTGCCTATATATGTAAGCCGCCTTGAGTCCCCTAAGGGGTTGAGAAAGGCTGGTATAAATACAGTAAATAAATAAATAACTTCATTTTCCGCTCCCTGATCATAGCTGTCCTTTAAGCAATATGAAGATGTGCAAACACAAGTTACTTCTGGACAATTAATAATACACATAGTCATTCTTTCCTTTGCTCCAATGCAGTACTTGCTTCTTGATGGGTCCTGTGAAACAGCTGAAAAAGATGTTTGAGCCAACAAGATTAATTGTGACAATTGTCATGCTGGTAAGTGAAATCTCCTTCACTCCTGAAAGCAAGAAAACATAACATCCCTAAGAATATACTAACAAGGTTAGTACTAGGAATTGATAGGAATTCATATTAGAGTGTGATGTCATAATTGACTGAGAAGATGTTTGAAATAAGAAAGGCAAAAAGCAATATCCTTATTCTGTAGAATCAGTTGGTTTACAGTTTGAAGTGGAACCTTGATATGTTGTATAACACCATGAAAGACGGGGGGGGGGGGGGGAAACTATCAGATATATTTGCTGTGAGCAGAATAAATCATCCAGACTTGATAACTTATGTAGTGAAAGTACTTAATGTTTTTGATATTGAAATTTTCCTTTCATGAGATCTAATAGGGATATATAGGGGTGTGCATATGTATTAATCTAGAACGCTATTAAACAACAATGCATCCTCGAAAATAAAAGAAATGTGTTTGATTTTGCACATGGCATTTTTTCTGAAGTAACATTGGATCTGTATCTGAAATAAATGCCAATTTGACATATCTTTTTCCTCTTCAGCTCTCTTTTATACTCACCTTATGTGCTGTGTTCTGGGTAAGTAGCATTAACATTTTGTGTTTCATATTAGACGCTGTGGCAGTAAAATTTGTTTGTCTAATATCTAATTGTAATCTTGCCATTCTAGGATTCAGTGTTACACAAATCAAGATCCTTCTCTGATTTTTTTAAATTGCAATCTCTTAAAGCTATGGGTTTTTTATCCTTTGTGTTAAAACAAAGTGAAAATAGATATATGTGCCTTAACATAGTGTTAAAAAAAATCCTTTACTCTTCTGTTTAAAATACCTGCATCTAGAAGTAAGCATCATGAGCTTTCCTTAACCAAGAACACTTAGTTCTCGTATCCCATCTAAATCTATGTTAAACAAGCTGTGACTCCTAGAATTCCATAGCATTAAGACCAATGTGATTAAAGTGATGTTGGACAGCATTAATTCTACAATGTAGATGCACATGTAATCTATAGAATATTTAGGTTTATACTCTAGAGCAGGCATGGGAAAACTTCAGCCCTCCAGATGTTTTGGAGTGTTAGGAATTGTGGGTATTGGTCCAAAATACCCCGAGGGCCGAAGTTTGCCCGTGCTTGCACTTGAAGCAACAGGGTCAACTCTAATAAACCAACTTCATGAGTTCATATCATTAAATCTTTTTTTAGAAATTAGTTGAGCCTGTGCAGTATGCTTCAGTTTTCAGTACACAGTTTTGTGTTATGGTGGCATGAAATTCAATGCCCTTTCCTGGAAAAAGGCAGCAGTGTTGGTTCTCATCCAAACAAAGATTATCAAAATTACTGCTATTGGAGTTATTAATTACACATGTTAATGTCAACCAAATTCAGCATATTTTTTTTTTGTTTTTTCTCATGTTCCTTAGTGGCATAAGAGAGGGCTAGCCCTGCTTTTCTGCATTATGCAATTCTTGGCAATGACCTGGTAAGAGTTTAAAACATTTTATCATTTCTTAACATAACACAAAGTTCTTTTGTGAAAGTAGTTAGGGTAGATGGCATTGCAAGTCATGTCAATTGGAGTGAGATGCTATTGCCATCATGATTGCTCTGTGGTCTTTTGAAAATGTATTGCTTCCATTTATGACAAGGGACACAAAAAGGTCCTCTAACATTTTGTTGTCTTTGATCCTGAGTGCTACTAAATAATAATTGCATATATGTGTGAGAAAATAATAAGAAAGAACTCCTACCTCCTAATACCACTTTTCTCACCACTTTTTCTTTACTGTATATCCATTGAGAGGAGGGTATTAGTTTAATTCTAGAATATCTTCAAGGTGGGATTATGGAAGGCTCAAAAGACTTAGTCAATCTGTTCTGCAAAATATGCTCTGGAACATTTTATAGCTGTGCTACTTAAGGTGGCCCTTCGTGAAGCAGAGCTGTTGGTTGTTTTGCCATGGCAAGTTTCCAGAAAAGAAAGGCACTGTTGTAGTCAGTGGGCATAAATATACAGATGGTCTTTGTCATGTTGGGGAACAAACCTGCCATTCCCACACATGTCCAATAGCTTTAAAGCAGTATCTGTTGCATATATTGGCTGTATTATTGCAGAAAAACAGCCCCTGAATGTAGATCTGAAAATTATTGGTACCCGTTTTATTAAAAAAGTAACTCTTTTAATGATACTTTGTGAAAAGTAGAGATACTGAGTAATTCAAAATTTGTTTTGTTATTTTATTACAAACCAACCATACTATCACAGTATCCCTTTTCAAATCAAAAGTTGGAAAAGAAAAATCAGAAATACTGCCCTGAATCCACTTAATTTTGATAAGAAATAAACATTTTGAGATAACCCTGGCCCTGCTTCCTTTTTTCTATTTCACCCAGTGATAGTTGGTCAGGTGTTAAGATTTATGCAATTCTATTTTTTACAAGTGTCCACAACTTCCATTTAACTCAAAGAAAACCTCTGACCTGTGGCCTAATCTGGTCTGCAGTGGGGCTGATATGCCCTATCAATGCTCCAGAGTTCAGTCCTCCCCCATTACGAATCTCATCTTCCACTTTAGGGGATGAGCATGAGGGCCCTTCCACACAGCCATAAAACCCAGAACATCATGGCAGAAAATCCCACATATCTGCTTTGAACTGGTATATCTGAGTCCACATTGCCACATATTCAAGTTCAAGTTCAAAGCAGATAATCTGGGATTTTATTCAGCTCTGTGAAAGGGGCCTCGGATTGAGGATCCCCACAGTTGCTTCCCGGTCTCATATAGGATTAGTATTCCACTCCCATCTGAACTCCTGTTCTCAATATGAGACCGGAGGTAAGAAGCATTCTGTAAGCATGTGTCAAATGAGGCACACTACCAACATACTTCACTCATATGTTGGTTGTACCAACAAGAAAAAAGTTGAGGTCATAAAATGCAGCAATTGTAAAAATAAGTAAAAATAAAAGCAAACTCTTTGATAGAAAACATATTTAAACTAATACTACCAATTCTATTATGTCTTCCTACACATCTCTGTTGTAGATGGATTTAGAATATTTTATTTGTTCTGGCTGCTTTTTCTCACAAAATTGGAATTGGAAACAGTTTAGGGAGGAAAAGCATCTTCAGTTGTCTGAGTTAATGCCAAACAAACAATGTCTACACTTTTTAGAGGAAACTGGACAGTAGGCTGATAAGATAGGAGATGGAATAAATAAAACTTGTTTATAATAGCAGAATTTGAGATAGTCCAAAGAAGCTGGCAATAGGCACACAGTCAATGCTACATCACACGATAGGTAATACATGGGATTTGCTGCAATCAATCATGGTATTATCCATTCATTTAGAAGACAGGAAAAAAGGGAAGTAAAGAAAACAGACTATATTATGTTCACATGTGAGACTGGGGATAGTCATTGTTGAGAGACTGTGCCACTGAATACATTGCTGAAGGCCACTTCTGGGAGAGTATAGCCATATTCTAGAAGCTTTCTCTCCTGCTTCTAGAACATGGCCATACAGCCCAAAAAAGCTACAATAATCCAGTGATTCCAGCCATAAAAGCCTTCAACAATACAATTTTGGGAGAGGTTATCCTTCAAGTTCTCTTATCAGCTTCCCAGAAACCATCGAGAAGGAGCAGTTATCTGGCAGAGCAAAGTTGTTGTTATATTTGCATATTGATTTTCCTTGGATTAAGTTACTTTTTATGAAGTTTATAAATCAATAAAATGTATTATTTTCTCTGGCTGTGTTTGTGTGTGTTTGGTATTTGCATTATGCTAGCCTATGTGCCTTTATGGGGGAGATCAAGTAATGTGTTTGCAACAAAATCTGAAATGGAGACCAGATCAGAAACTCTTGGCCGGACATCAAGTTCTTTTAAAAGCCCTTTCATCCTGAAATGTACAATCTGAATAGTTAATCGTAAAGAGTTGTTGCACATGATGACTTCCTTGAAGGTTGACTGAAACAGGATAAGTGACCTAGAATGTTACATTTTCCTCCTTCTCTTTCAGGTACAGTCTGTCATATATTCCTTATGCAAGGTGAGTCACTACAATTGTGGTTTCTTTTCTCTTTAAAAAAAAGATTCCTTTGCAGAAAGATCCTTTAGGTAGGTGTGTGCGTGTGTGTTTTAAAACATGGTGTGTTCCTGTTGCTACCAAATCTTAAACTGGACCTAAACATTCACCACAATCAATTCACTTCTGAAGAGGCTATAAATGAATGGAGGGTCCCCCTCTTTGAGCCTTTTTGTGACAGGAGGAATGTCCCATCTCCCTGACAGCCTTAATTCTGCCTTTTCTGCCAGAAAAGAAATTGAGCCAATGTACTTAGTAGAAAGTAAACAGAGGAAGATATAGCCCTACAGTATCATCGTTGGCCTCATCTACACTGCCATATAAAATCCTGATCATCTGCTTTGGACTGGATTGTAAGTGTAGACCCATATAATCCAGTTCAAAGCCAATAATGTGGATTATCTGCTTTGATAATCTGGATTATATGGCTGTGTAGAAGGAGCCTATGTGAAGTTGGGAATCGGTGTGGAACATCTGATTCTCTCCAACTCCATTTGGGATTAGCCACCTGCCCATCTTCTGTAGTACCTTTCTTAAATCACAGGGTACCATTTTGAAACTTTAACAAGACATATTACTGTTTGTAAATGCCAGTGCACAGAGTGCTGCCAGACTGTGTGTTTTTTTTTAAGCAGGCATGAGCAAACATCAGTCCTCCAGGTGTTTTGGACTTTAACCCCGAGAAATCTCAGCCATCCTGGTGGCTGTTAGGAATTGTGGGAGTTGAAGACCAAAATACCCCGAGGACTGAAGTTTGCCCATGCCTGTTTTAAAGTGTAGTTAGTTGCAAGCAAAAGTTAGATTTGCCTAATGAATGCACAGCACTTCCCCATAATATTTCTCTAGCAATCCTTAATATGTGTAAGAGGTCAGAGAAGTAACATTTATTTGTACGGACCAGTAAGTTGCTGCTTTTTAATTTCTTTGAATACCATACTTGGTACAGTTTAAATATCCCTTATCCAAAAATGCTTGGAATTTGGATAAGGGAGACCAGAAGTGTTTTGGATGTCAGATTTTGGAGTACTTATGTTTACATATACGTACATAATGAGATATCTTGGAGGTGGGATCCAAGTATATAAACAAAAAAATCATGTATGCTTCATATACACTCTACACATATAACCTCAAAGTAATTTTATATATATTTTTAATCCGTGGATCCAAAAATTGTGAACTATCAGAAAGCAAAGGTGTCATTATCTCAACCATCTTATGTAGATAATTTTTTATTTCAAGATATTTTGGAATTCTGAGTAAGGGATGCTCAACTTATAGTGGATCCTATAAAATTTAGTAAGTCTTATTACCAAGAGGGTGTTCTGAAGATTGTGGCCTTGGAAACAGCCACTTTTTTGTGAGCAGACACTTACTGAAAAATATGTTGAAGGTGAACCAATTCCAGTATCAATGTCTGAGATCTCAGAATTCTTGCAAATTGGAACCAGATGTGATTTTTACAAACATTGTTTAGTGTAAAAATAAGTTTTAGAATAATAACGGAGGCTAATAAAACATTTGCACATTAGGAAATGGCATAAAAGCTCATGGTGAAGTGATGTATTTATTTTTCTTTTAAAGGGATGCTGTGATGAAATGCTTCACATCCTGCCTAAGTTAGAGGGAACAAAGAGAAACTTTTCAATGATATTAGAAGCCAATTTTATTTCTCCAAGTTTACTCTTTTGTGTCAGATCCCAAAATGGTGAAAAAATTTCTTTTACAATTGGGGATTAAATTATGCTAGCAGAATATATATATTTTCAAAACTGCCCACAACACCTGCATAAATCATTTATTTTCCTCACAAAATGGTCTCAAAAGTGCTAGATCAGATTCTGCTAACATAATTTACTCTCAAAAGTAGCATTTGGACTCCAGGTAAAATGTATGTAAATAATTTTGTCTTGGTTTTGCTATTTATCTTTCCTGTTAATGCATTATTTGTTATATGCTTCCCAAAGATCTTTAACATTGTAAAATTACGTATTTTACTAAATATATAGCTATGGAGCTCTCTGAAATACTTAAACTGGTATGCTATGGAAAGGATGGAAACATGTAAGATGTCTCGTAATAAACACGTGAACTTTTCTTTTGTTAAACTTTATAAATACCAACTTTTTATATTGTGATACTTTAAAAATACTTGAATAAAAGTGCTTATGAATAATATATTAAATCAGTGATTACAGACAAAAATAAAATTATTTTAAAATGCCATAGATGTACTCCTTTAGTTTGTGAAGTCAACACAGAGTAGTGCATTTCCATTTTTAAAGCGGTATCTCAGCTTACAGGTAATTCCACACCAAACCCCATCTGGATTCTAACTTTCTGCCCTTGGGTTCATATACTCTTCTTGCATGTGTGGCTTAGCTGCATGTTTCTGGTAGCAACCATGGTCTGTCAATGTGCAAACATGGAGTTAAAAAACCCACATACTTATGTTAGTTATACCAACAAAGGGCACATCTACACTGTAGAATTAATGTCACTGGACACCACTTTTGATGGCCATGGTTCTGTTGTGGAATCCTGGGAATTGCAGTTTGGTGAGACACCAGTGCTCTTTGGTAGAGGTTACTGACCTTGTAATACTAGAGCTTCTATGATTCCGTAGCATTGAGCCATGGTGGAGTCAAGGTGATGATTCAAAAAATAGCACCTGTTTCCCCCTATCAATTCTAGTTTGTGAGATATGGAAAATAAGCTTGTGCAATCCAGGTAAACGTTGATCCATTTCATGTCACTGCTTTTGGTAGGGGCCTTGATTCATTTTTTGGGAGGGCAGATATCTATTTTCACTCTGGGGTACCAAAAGATCAGTTTTCTATCGGCCAATTATGGGGGAGGGGGATTCCCAGGCTCTTCTTCCAATCATTTTAGGCATTTATGCTCTTTCTGCTCTAGAGGAGAGGCCCTGCAGGCAGGTGTGCACAATTTCTCTCCTGGGCCTGCATGCCACATGCACTCTTTCCAAGGCATTTAAAGGAAGCAAGTTCTTAAAGCTATTTCTTATTCTAGAGGAAAGGCGCTGTAAGCAGGCACACACACTTTAAGGAGGCTTCCAGTTCTTACCTTTCTATTCTTGAGGAGAGGCACTCGATTGCAGGCAGGCGTGCACTTTAAGGAGGCTTCTTGTTCTTAAAGCTGTTTTTGTACTCTAGAGGAGAGGTGCTTGGTTGCAGGCAGGCATGTGCACTTTAAGGAGGCTTCTTATTCCTAAATCTGTCTACTCTAGAGGAGAGGTGCTGCATGCAGACACACACACTTTCTCTCCCGGGCCTGCACCACGCCAATAGCCACACACTCTTTACAAGGCATTTTAAGGAGGCTTCCCTTCGGGGTGAGAAGGGCAGCATATAAATGTAGTTGATAAATAAAATAAGGTAAGGAAGAGTTATGACTTGCTGGGAGAGGAGAAGTAACTGGTAGCAGTTTTCGGGAATTAGGGATTTCTTTTTGTTTGCTGGGAGATTAATAAAAAAGATTAAACTTTTTTATGCTGAAAAACAGATGAGGAGCTGAGATTGGCTCCCATCTGTTTTCATTACCGGTCGGTTTTCATTACCGTTATGGGCTCCTGAAGTACCGAAGGAAACGAATTCAGCGCACAAGTCTGAATGCCATATACCTGTCTTCACTCTGCTTGCCCGTAAAAAAGTTAAGACATTTTAACAGTGTTTAAATCAGGGGTCCTCAAACTAAGGCCCGGGGGCCGGATATGGCCCTCCAAGGTCATTTACCCGGCCCTCACTCAGAGTCAGCCTAAGTCTGAAATGACTTGGAAACACACAACAAAACAACAATCCTATCTCATCAGCCAAAAGGAGGCCCACACTTCCCATTGAAATACTAATAAGTTTATATTTCTTAAAATTGTTCTTCATTTTAATTATTGTATTGTTTTAAGTGTTTTTGCACTACAAATATGATATGTGCAGTGTGCATAGGAATTCATGCTTTTTTTCAAATTATAATCCGGCCCTCCAACAGTTTGAGGGACTGTGACCTGGCCCTCTGTTTAAAAAGTTTGAGAATCCCTGGTTTAAATTAACACCTTTTAAGCATGAATGAAACATTAAATGTTAAAAGAAGAATGTACCACATGAAAATCTTACTTATTTCAAAAGCACAGATCGATGATACAAACCTTCCATTATAAATTCAAGCATATCCAAGAAACGAGCTGATGCGGCCTTTGCAATGCAATTTTTGGGTTCAGCCCCTAAGTCACAGGATTCTGCCCTGGATCCAGTGTTGTTCAACATTTGTCTAAACAATGGAATAAAGAAGCATCTTTATCAAATGTGTAGTTGATACCAAATTAGGAAGGGTAGCTATGGACAAGATCAGAATTCAAAATGACCTAAAGAGTCTGCACAGCTGTGCCAAAACTATCAAGAAGGACAAAGAAGCTGGAATGTGTCCAGGGGAGAATGACCAAGATGATAAAAAGTCCAGAAACAACTTATATGAGGAATGTTTTGGAGAACTGGGAATGTTTAACTTGGAGAAGTAACTATTGAGAGGTGATATAATCGTCAGTATTCAAGTACCTGAAGGGATGACTTGTGGAAGAACTAGGTTTGTTTTCTGCTGTTCTGGGAGATTCCAACAAGAACAAATTGATTCAAATTAGATGAGAGAAAACCTTTCCTAAATGTTAGGAAGAACTTCCTGAGTGTAAGAAGTGTTTGACATCGGAATAGACCTTCTCAGAGAGTGGTAGTCTTTGGCAGTCTTTAAACCAGGGGTCCCCAAACTTTAAGAAAAGGACCAGTTCACAGTCCCTCAGACTGCTGGAGGGCTGGACTATAGTTTGCTTTAAAAATGAACAAATTTCTATTCCTAAACGTGACAGAACAGTGCAATATTTAAAATGAAGAACAATGTTAACCAACATAAACTTACCCATATTTCAATGGGAAGTGTGGGGCTGCTTTTAACTGATGAGATGGTCAAGTTAATCAGGACTATTGTTATTGTGGGCCTTCAAGTCGTTTCAATCTTAGGACGACCCTAAGTCAAGTTTAGGGCAGAGGGCAGGTCAATGACGGAGGGCTGCATCCGGCCCATGGGCCTAAGTTTGGGGACCTCTGCTTTAAACAGAGGCTGAATATCCATCTCTCAGTAGCAAGGTAGGGAATGGGTGTAGACAGTTCTTACAGTGCCTTCTCACTCTGTGGTGGTCTGGCTTTACCTATATTAGCAGTGTCTGGCCTGACTTAATCCAGTAATGTTTTAATAATAATAATAATGGGTTGCTGTAAGTTTTTCTGGGCTGTTCTCCAGAAGCACTCTCTCTTGACATTTTGCCCACATCTATGGAAGGCAGCCTCAGAGCCTCTGAGGATCCCTGTCATAGATGTGGGTGAAACATCAGGAGAGAATGCTTCTGGAACATAGCCATACAGCCTGGAAAACTCAGCAACCCAGTGATTCCAACCATGAAAGCCTTTGACAACACAATACTACTACTACTACTACTAATAATAATAATAATAATAATAATAAATGATATTTGTTCCCTGCCTCTCACAGTGGCTTGAGGTGCGGTACATACATAGATAAGAACATATCATTACAAAAACAGAGACCTAACACAAGGGAGCCTCTGGTAGCGCAGTGGGCTAAACTGCTGAGCTGCAGAACTTGCTGACTGAAAGGTTGGCAGTTTGAATGTGGGGAGCAGGGTGAGCTCCCACTGTTAGCCACACCTTCTGCCAACCTGGCAGTTCGAAAACATGCAAATGTGAGTAGCTCAATAGGCACTGACCAAGAGATAAGAGCACTCCATGCAGTTATGCCAGTTACATGACCTTGAAGGCATCTATGGACAACGCTGGCTCTGGCTTAGAAATGGAGATGAGCACCACTCCCAGCGTTGGACACGACTAGATTTAATATCAAGGGGAAACTTTACCTTTACGAAATTAAATTGGGTAAGCCTGCCAGAAGAGAGAGGCCTGTAATTCTGTTTCAAGTTCTTCCTTCTCCTTGAGCTGTGGAAGGGAGCTCTTCTGGCAGGTCATTCCCCAGTCTTGGGGTGGCCCAGGAAAATGGAATCCCCCTTTAGGTATGCAGCTAGACCTGGAAATGGGAAGGAGGCCTTGACCCTTGGCATGGGTTCCTGCCAGGGTTGTTAATCTTCTATCTGGAGATTGGAGCCCCAGTGGCACAGTGGGTTAAACTCTTGTCCTGGCAAGACTGATGACTTGAAGATTGGGTTGCAACCCAGGGAGAGCGCAGGTGAGCTCCGTCTATCAGCTCCAGCTCTATGCAGGGACATGAAAGAAGCCTCCTACAAGGATGGTAAAAACAACAACAATAACAATAAAAATATCCGGGCGTTCCGTGGCCAACGTCCTTGCAGACAGCCAATTCTCTCACACCAGAAGCAACTTGCAGTTTCTCTCAAGTTGAAAAAAAAATCTGGAGAACATGGGGAAGACCCAGTGCAGGGCATTCCCCCACCAGGGAAAATAATAATAATAATAATAATAATAATAATAATAATAATAATAATCTTTATTTGTACCCCACCACCATCTCCCCAAAGGGGACTTGGAGCGGCTAACATGAGGCCAAGCCCAAAATTACAATACAGCAAAATAAAATACAAAGAAGCAAAAATAACATGAAAATAAAATACATGAAATAACAATTACTAAATAACATGATAGTGGGGTTAGACCAGGGGTCCTCAAACCCGTGGGCTGGATACGGCCCTCCAAGGACATTTACCTGGCCCTTGCTCAGGGTCAACCTAAGTCTGAAACACTTGAAAGCACACAACAACAACAATCCTATCTCATCAGCCAAAAGCAGGCCAACACTTCACATTGAAATACTAATAAGTTTATATCTGTTAAAATTGTTCTTCATTTTAATCATTGTATTAAGTATTTTGCACTACAAATAAGATATGTGCAGTGTGCATAGGAATTCATTCATTTTTTTTCCAAATTATAATCTTGCCCTCCAACAGTTTGAAGAACTGTGACCTGGCCCCCTGTTTAAAAAGTTTGAGGACTCCTGGGTTAGACCTTCATTGAGGGCGGGGGGGGGGGGGGTGCATCATGAGGACGGGACTGTAGTTGGAACAGACAAAATATGTTCATTCGCCAAAAGCACATCGGAAGAGCCAAGTTTGTAGGTCTTTCTTAAAAGCGGCGAGGGTAGGGCCTTGCCTCATCTCACTAGGTAGGGAGTTCCAAAGCTGAGGGGGCCACAACGGAGAAGGCTCTCCCCCTCGTCCCCACAAGTGAAAGGAGGGCCTCCCCAGAGGATGGAGGAGATCGTGCAGGTTTCTGTTAGGAAAGCAAAGGATGGCTAACCTTTCACTTGGGAGGCCGAGGCGGAGGCGTGCCTCCCTTTCCTGCCTGCGAGGGGCGAGTGTGGAAGGGCTGCCTCCTCGCCAGGCGCTTTGCCCGGAGCCCTTTCGCCTCCCTGGGGCCGCCCTCCAGCTCCTCCTCCTCCTCCTCTTCCTCTTCGTCCCCGGAGGAAGAGAGAGAGAGAGAGAGAGAGAGAAAGAAGAGGCGGCCGGCGTTGCGTCCTCGGCGATGGTGTGCTGAGCCTGAGCCAGGGAAGAGGGGGCGAAGGAGAAAGAGAGGAGGAGGGCAAGGGGTCTCCGGACGGCGCCATGTCCCTGCCCCCGCTCCTGCCGTCTCCCGCCGCCGCCCCCCGCCTCCACCCCCGCCGGGCTCCGCAGGCGCTGTCCCCTCCCTCGGCCCCGCGAAGGGCGCCTCCCTGCTCTCCGGCCAAGCCCGCCAGGAGAGCCCCCTTCCCGGGCTCGTGGCCCAGCTCTCCGGCCTCCCTGCCCAGGCAGGTGCCTCCGCGGAGAGGCGGCGGGAGGGCGCCCCCTCCGGCAGCCCCTTCCTCCCCGCCTCCGCCTCCGCCCCCGCCGCCTTTCTCCGCCGCCGGGAGGTTCTCGCTCAGCCTCCCTCCGGAGGCGATCCGGGTCCTGCAGCGGCGGAGCCTCGAGGAGGAGGAGGAGAACGAGGAGAAGCGGCGGAGGCACAAGCAGCGGCGCCCCCGCGGAGGGAGAAGCGGGCGGGAGTGGCGCGACCTGCTCCCGGTCTCGCTCCTCAATGACCGACACCGCTACGACGACGTGGAGTACGAGGAGGAGGAGGAGGAGGAAGAAGAAGAAGGTGGGAAGGGGAGGAAGGCCCCCGCCAGGGACGAAGGGCTGGTGCGCAAGTGCACCGAGTGGCTGCGCGGCGTGGAGAGCGCCGCCGCCCGGGACCGGGCCGAGAAGCTGGGCAGCCTGCCTCACCTGGGCACCCTCTGAAAGGAAGCTCCGCGCCAGGAGGAGGAAGAGGAGGAGGGACAGGGCAGGCTTGGGCTGTTGTAGGTTTTTCGGGCTATAGGGCCATGTTCTAGCAACATTCTCTCCTGACTTTTCGCTTCCATCTACGGCAGGCATCCCCAGAGGTTGTGAGGTCTTGCTTTCCCTGCCCTGGAGAACAGGACTCAATGGAACAAGGGAAGGAGAGCCCACCTGAACATTAGGAAGGACTTCCTGAGAGCTGATCAACTGTGGCACTCCCTGCCTCGCAGTGTGGTGGAGGCTCCTGCTTGGACTGAAGCCGGATGACCACCTGTCGGGGATGCTTTCAGGGTTTTTTTTCCTCTCTCAGGAGCAATTTGAGAAACTGCAAGTCGCTTCTGGTGTGAGAGAATTAGCAGTCTGCAAGAGCATGCCAAGGGGACTTCTGGATGTTTTGATGTTTTACCATCCTTGTGCCAGGCTTCTTTCATGTCCCATCATTAGGAGCTGGAGCTGACAGAGGGAGCTCATTAGCACTCTCCCCAGATTCAAACCTCCAGTCTTCCGTCCTGCCTGCACAAGGGTTTAACCGATTGTGCCACCGGGGGCTCCTGGTGTACAAGGATTATCCGGAAAGTAAGGTTCCAAGAGTTTCTATGACACTTTCTATGAAAGTAAGGTTACAAGAGTTTCTATGACTCAGGCATCAAAAACTCATCCCATCTATGACAAAATGTATTGAACTTCCAAATAATGTAATACCTATGCTACAATCCATGTAAGTTTGAGTTTTTGATGCCGGTGTCATTGAAGTTTCCCTCTGCTCTTTTTAGCCAGTTCATCACCTCAATTTTAAAAATCCCAACCAAATGAAGTCATCAAGTTTTGTGTTGCATGAGCAGTGTGCGGACGTGCATTGTCATGAAGGAGACAGACTCCTGCCGTCCACCGTTTGTTTACGGTGGCTCTGCGAAGTTTCTTCATGGTCTCACAATATATTCCATATCCATTTTGTCACATGCTTTCTTGACATTATGTCCTCTCCATAAACTTAAAAGGATTTGGTGATTAATCACGGCGGTGTTCTTGCCCTTCGCATTTAGGTAGCGTATTTCAGCGTGAACTTTGAACTTTGAGGGAAACAGAATGAGGACATTCATCTCTAACTTTCACCACAATGCCAGTCGATGAGCCACTTATGACTGGCACTGCTCATTTGCTTCTTCTGGCTTCCAACTACATGGCAATGATACCAACTTCTGAGAAAATTCCCTATGAGAGCTACATGCCTTGTAACCTTACTTTCCGGATAACCCTCGTACTTTTCCTGCATGGCAAGGGGTTGGACTGGATAGCCCATGCAGTCTCCTCCAACTCTATGATACTATAATTGCCTTGGAAGCATAGCTTGGTCCCTGGGTGCATCTGGACCAGAGCTTTCCACACATTTCCTGTTGGATGCACCTCTCCTGTTGAGATGTGCATTATTTCACGACACAGTCATTCACTTTTACTAACAAATCAAAGGGCAGATCAATCTCTTATAAGAGATACAGGCTCATACATCAACTGTAATATTGAAATCTATGGGGACACGACACATCTCATGAAAAACCTGTCACTGATGTATTTTTAAACATACAGTATTTATTGCTTATTTCTCATACGTTTGCATAACATCAGTACATACCAGCACGAGACACCATTTGGAACGCTCTGATTTACAGTGTAGAATTAATGCTGTTTCACATTGATTTAACTGCCAGGGCTCAATGCCTGTGAAATACCAGGATTTGTTGTTTGGTGAGACACCAGGTCTTGTCAAAAAGCAACTCGCAGGATCGCAGATCATTGAGACATGATAAGTTGGTGTCAGACTGCATGAACTCCACAGTGTTGTTGCACCCTGTGTTGGAAGCGTAGCTACTGTTCATGGCTTGGCAAAAGGAAGAGCTTAGACCTGCCACTGTCTCCCTTCCTTGAGGTTGAGATGGAGATCCCTGGATGTTGGTGGATTTTTTATAACAGGCATGGGCAAACTTGGGCCCTCCAGGTGTTTTGGACTTCAACTTCCACAATTCCTAACAGCCTCAGGCCCTTTCCTTTCCCTTAAGCAGCTGAGGGGGGGGGGGAGGAAGGGGCCTGAGGCTGTTAGGAATTGTGGGAGTTGAAGTCCAAAACACCTGGAGGGCCAAGTTTGCCCATGCCTGTTATATAAGGTTATATAAGGTCCTTTGCATTCTCTGTCAAAGAGTGCCAGCACCTTACCGAACTGCAAATCATATGCCATAACATTGAGCCATGCCAGTTAAAGTGGTGTAAAACTGCATTAATTTGACAGCGTAAATGCACCCTTGGACAGTAGTCCCCAACCTTTGGTTCTCCAGGTGATTGGGACCTCAACTCCCAGAAGTCCCAGCCAGTGGGGGCCAAACTGTGATAATTCTACAGTGTAGATGCATCCTTAGTGTTGTATCATAGCTGGCTTGGACTGGTAGAAAGGGCTGAATCTAATAGATAGTAGCTTTAATAGAGCACCAGATGTAATAGTTTCTTTTGTGTACAGATTTTTTACAGTGCCTAGCCAACACTAATTTTTGCCACCTTGGTTTCTTGGACTTATTTTAGTAACATATCAATACTTGTTATCTTTTTTATTTTATACTCTATAGGAAACAGAGGCAAGTAGGTCTCTTTTGTCTCACTTTACAATAAAACTTATCTGAGTTCCAGGACAGCATAAATCCTGGAATCCTGTTTCTCTAACCTTTCCTCCTTGTTGTAGGACTCAAGGCTGCAAATGATAGGAAGGAGCTTGCATTTTACACCAGAAACTGTGGCAACCCAGAGGAAGATTGATAAAACACAAGAATTTGGCACAAAGTGTGGAGTAGCAAAATCAACTTTTTAAAATGAGAGTGAAGAATAGCACCATGATTTTGTAAATTTGTAACATTTCTATTTATTTGAATAAACCTTTACAGTTGTTTGTGACTTAATTTGGTATGGTCATTATTCTATATCTTCACTGTTATCAAAGAAAGCTTCCATCCCTGGAGAGTGTTTAATTCAGTAGTTCTCAAGCTTCCTAATGCTATGACCCCTTAATGTACTTCTTCATGTTGTGCTGATCCTCAGTCATAAAATTATTTTTATTGCTACTTCATAATTGTAATCTTGCTACTGTTATGAATCGTAATGTAAATATCTGATGTGCAGGATGTATTTTCATTCACTGGAACAAGTTTGGAACAATCACCCAATATGTCCAAAATTGAATACTGGTGAGGTTGGAGGGGGGATTAATTTTGCCATTTGGGAGTTGTAGTTGCTAGGATGTATAGTTCACCTACAATCAAAGAGAATTCTGAATGCCATCAACAATGGAATTGAACCAAACTTGACACACAGAACTCCCATGACCAGCAGAAAATACTGGAAGGGTTTGGTGGACATTGACCTTGAGTTTTGGAGTTGTAGTTCAGAGTTTTGGAGTTGTGGTTCATCTACCTCCAGAAAGCACTCTGAATCCAGCCCATAATGGATCTGCACCAAATTTGGCATACTATCTACATGGCCAACATTGAAAAGTCCAGCCAACAAACATAGGAGTCCGCACTGGAATGATAATAGGGCATGCTAGACTTTGCAAGTAAAGATATTAAAAGGAAGGGAGCATATACTGCGGAGAGACAATAGGTTCAGAGGTATATGCAAAACAGCAGTTATACCTGTTTGTTTATCAAACTTAATTGCAAATCTTTTTTTAGGATTAGTAGCAGATTTCCTACATTTCTGGTCTCATGATTTACATTTTTCTTATACACTAATAGAGTGTTATACACTGAAAAGGCAGGGTTGATGCATTAAAGTAACCTGAAATAAGAGTGGCTGCCAATGTACTTTTGTATGTGAAGAAAAGATTTCCAAAGGTTGAACTTTTGTATTAGCAAAGGACTATGACATCATCTGTCACCCAACTTCAGTGCACGTGTTTTCTCTGATTTTAACTAAGATTGTTGCAGAAAAGAAAGTGAATTTTCTTAATAATGTTGTATTGTTTGGAATCTGGTGTCTTTTGAAATGACTTGGGCAAGAATCTTTAGCTTCATAAAAACCCTGCTGTTGCACTATAGCCTTTTCACACAGCACCACACCAGAGTCCAGTAGTTTCTAACACTACAGCAAAGCATATACAAAAGGGGGAAAGGGGCATTTTCCCAAAAGCAGTAGATAATGTGCTATAAAATAGCAGTAGCCCATATATACAAATTTCAATAGTCCAAAAGAGCAAGGTACATGGAATCCAAGAAGTCACAATCATAAGAATAAATCAATAGGCACAAAAACATGAACTTTTCCAAGGCAAAACTTTTACAGGAACTTAAGCAAACACAGGAGACTTGAATCATGCACTTGAGAGTTGAAACGGGAATTTGAATCTATGGCAACGTTGTCTGCACTGAAGTCACCAAGTAAAAATCACTTAATTTAAGATCAGGTCTGACCAAGAAGACATGAGGTCATGCCTTTGACACCTGGATCTCAAGGATTTCTCACTGAGCCTTTCTGAATGCCTAATTAATCTTTATTTATTTATTTATTTGCTTACTTCATTTCTACCCCACTTTTCTTGACCCGGAAGGGGACTCAAGGAGGCTTACAAACCCTAATCTGATATTGCAGGAAACCTTCCAATCTTCTGCTGAAGGTTGATTCCCAAGAGAAACAGACTTTCCCCTGGTTGCTAAGGAATGAACATTGGAATCCCTAACATCCCCTGTCTGAACTGCAACTGCTGGCACTTCTCTCTGATCTAAGGCCTGCAATTCAATCTGATCACACACAATCTCAGTGGGAAACCCATCATCCTGCTTGTCCTCTGAGAAGTTCCCAGCATTTTGCTGCTGAGCCCCAATACCTGCTCCCTATGACAATTAAAGCTACAATACATTTCTTATAAATTTATGAATCCAGCCACCAATAAAAGCAAGCATTTTTTGCTTGTATTGCTACAATAGCTATCATGATAAGGGGCTGCAGTTTGAAACTAGCAACTAATCAGGTAGGGAGACTCAAAAGCAGTCCCTACTTCCAAAACAGCTAGATTTTTATGGCCCATTCAGAAGCTTATCCTGAAGAACCCCAGTACATCTAGTCTGGGTGTAACTAGTGCCTGAATAGGTTTGTCAGTTTTATTGGTTTATTATAACAAAAATCATGATGGGGGTCACATTCGTAATTTTGTACTAAGTGCATATGAATTTGAAAAATGTAAATTTAATAAACATTGCAAATACTGGCAGGCTATTTTTTTAGGCTTGTGGAAAGTCAGTGGGATTGCTTGTGCACTTAACAATTAGACCATTACGTAATTACTGGAAGCAAATGCCAGTAGCAGCTGGGAGTGGGACTCTGAGAAAAGAATAAAATGGTGTGATTGAGAAAGATAGCAACTGGGGCACTGTCAACAAATGAGGTCATTTTGTTTCTCAATGTTAACTACAGAGATCCAGCTATACATCTCTGTGCTGTAGCTGAGTACCATGAGAAGATATTGACAACTGAATTGGAATCTTAACATCACTTTTTTAAAGCATGCCTAACAGTCAGTTTAGGACTTGTTTGTATATCTAGAGGTTTAGTAGTAAAGGAATCACAATAGTAAGCCTGGCAGCATAGGGGGGAATGGTGTATGCTATCTTAGAAGAAAGATGCATGAACATGTCATAATGATACAGGGCCATTATGAGGACCAATCTGCAAAGGGTGGTTGAGAGGGGCATGTTGGAAGCTGCTCAGGAGAGGGTCAGCATTTCTTCTGAAAGGCAAATACCTATACTAGCCCTAGACTTGATATGTTCTGCCTCTATATTATGCGAGGGAAGAGAAAAGCAATGGGAAGGGGGAAGCTGCCTCTCCCGCTTTCAGTCCCCCAAAAGATTCTCCATCTCCCAGTTTATATCACTTAGGAAGAGCCAGCACAATATAATAATATAATGTTGGGCTACAGCCCTAGAAACCAGGGTGTGAATCCCACTCAGTCATGGTGGCTTAGGACATATAATGTTATTTCAGCATCAAAGAAAAGCAAGCCCCCTCTGATCAAATCTTGACAAGAAAACCCAATTATAGATTTGTCTTCAGGGTCACCCATAAATTGGAAATGACTTGAAGGCACACAACAACAATCAATTAGGACAATCAATCCCAGGAAGTATTTATCAATCGTATTACAGTTATAATCTTGTTGGTGTCATTTGTTATTATTTGTGTTATTTGCTGCTTATGACCACCCTATGAATGAGAGATCTCCATGATTCCCCAGTCTCCAATTGCCCAGCTCAAGTCTTGCAAACTCATGGCTTCCATAATTGAATCAATGCATCTGAAATATGTACTTTATTTTCCTGGTGTCTTCTACCCCATTGTTGTGTGCTTCCAAATCAATTCTGACTCATGATGACTAGTTATGGAATTTTCTTGGCAAAATTTGTTCAGAGAGGATATATCCTCTGAGACTAAAGATACTACCCTTTTCAAATAATTTTATTGCATTAACTTCAGCTCAGTCACTCTGTATATAATCTTTTAGTAGTGTATATACTTATGTACATCACAACTGGCACACAAAGAAAGTTACTGCTAATCTTAAAAAGCAGGTATGTAAATATGTCCTTGCTTTCTTCTAAAGTTGAGAGCCCAAAATCAAGCGGAGATTTCCATAGGCAAGCAGGGATTTCACCCCTGGTCTTCAAAGTTATAGTCCAACACTCAAACCCCTACACCAAGGGTCCTCAAACTAAGGCCCGGGGGCCGGATATGGCCCTCCAAGGTCATTTACCCGGCCCTCACTCAGGGTCAACCTAAGTCTGATAGGACTTGAAAGCACACAACAACAATAACAATCCCATCTCATCAGCCAAAATCAGGCCCACACTTCCCACTGAAATACTAATAAGTTTATATTTGTTAAAATTGTTCTTAATTTTAATTATTGTATTTTTAAGTGTATTTTGCACTACAAATAAGATATGTGCAATGTGCATAGAAATTCATTCATTTTTATAAAAAATTGTAATCCGGCCCTCCAACACTTTGAGGGACTGTGACCTGGCCCTCTGTTTAAAAGGTTTGAGGACCCCTGCCCTACGCTAATCTAGCTCTTCCCTTCTATTTTATCAGGCATAGTTGCCTATTCCAATGAGTCATATAAATCATACACAAGTATATACCATATACAAGTATGGTATAATGCATACGTTTTATATGTATTGTATGTAATACATTTGTTTATACTGCATGTCTTTGGGCTCGGGTAACAGAGAGACTCAGGGATAAAATCTACATTGGACTGGATTATATGGCAGTGTGGACTCAGACATTCCAGTTCAAAGCAGATATTATGAATTATCTGTCTTGACATTCTGGGTTATATGGCTGTGTGGAAGGGCCCTAAGTTCATGTTTCTATAAGTGGAGAGTTCCCCGAGTGTTGCTGTTTCACATGGGCCTAAATTCAAAATCAACTAAAATCAACTAGAGTAGAGACACTAAATCAACTGGATTTACCTGTGTGTGGCCTCACTATAGAGCCACTGATTCAATGGGTCAAATGTAACTGCAGCTCAACAAGACTCTATCCATGCAGTTACACATTCTTGGGTGATGCACAGTATCACCCCTGCCTTTAATTGCTGGGATTTCAGAAACTGCCATTTTGTATTCCTGTTGAACCATGGAACACTAAACAGCTACACAATCAATTGCACAATGTTGATAGAGACATATAACCTCTATGTAACTATATGAATGTTTTTGGCCACTGGTGGAGTTTATGGTTATTTGTACTGAAAAACCAAGATCCCAATGTGACGTCATGGGTCACGATCCTTATTGTAGTGACAGAAGCATCCTACATTGCTATATTCCAAATGTGGAAACAGGTTGCCAGCAAGGAGTTGAAGAAAACAAGGACATTGGGAATATTGCATTTAACA